CATTTCGTTCTTCTTCATGGCTGCATAAAATTCCATTGTGTATAGATACCACATTTTCTTAATCCATTCGTCAGTGCTGGGGCATCTTGGCTGTTTCCATAACTTGGCTATTGTGAATAGTGCCGCAATAAACATGGATGTGCAGGTGCCTCTGGAGTAACAGTCTTTTGGGTATATCCCCAAGAGTGGTATTGCTGGATCAAATGGTAGATCGATGTCCAGCTTTTTAAGTAGCCTCCAAATTTTTTTCCAGAGTGGTTGTACTAGTTTACATTCCCACCAACAGTGTAAGAGGGTTCCTTTTTCCCCGCATCCTCGCCAACACCTGTTGTTGGTGGTGTTGCTGATGATGGCTATTCTAACAGGGGTGAGGTGGAATCTTAGTGTGGTTTTAATTTGCATTTCCTTTATTGCTAGAGATGGTGAGCATTTTTTCATGTGTTTTCTGGCCATTTGAATTTCTTCTTTTGAGAAAGTTCTGTTTAGTTCACATGCCCATTTCTTTATTGGTTCATTAGTTTTGGGAGAATTTAGTTTTTTAAGTTCCCTGTATATTCTGGTTATCAGTCCTTTGTCTGATGTATAATTGGCAAATATTTTCTCCCACTCTGTGGGTGTTCTCTTCAGTTTAGAGACCATTTCTTTTGATGAACAGAAGCTTTTTAGTTTTATGAGGTCCCATTTATCTATGCTATCTCTTAGTTGCTGTGCTGCTGGGGTTTCATTGAGAAAGTTCTTACCTATACCTACTAACTCCAGAGTATTTCCTATTCTTTCTTGTATCAACTTAAGAGTTTGGGGTCTGATATTAAGATCCTTGATCCATTTTGAGTTAATCTTGGTATAGGGTGATATACATGGATCTAGTTTCAGTTTTTTGCAGGCTGCTAACCAGTTTTCCCAGCAGTTTTTGTTGAAGAGGCTGCTATTTCTCCATCGTATATTTTTAGCTCCTTTGTCAAAGATAAGTTGCTCATATCAACCTGGCTTTTCAATCCACCCGGATTAACAGGGGCCTGGGCAAGTGTCAGGCCTTTAAAAGCTTCAACAGGAGCTGCCGGAGTGGCTCAGGTGGTATAGCGCCTGCCTAGCAAGCATAAGGCCCCAAATTCAAACCCCAGTACTGCCAATAATAATAATAATAATGATATGAGTTGAAGGTGTGGTTCAAGTGGTAGATCCCCTCTGTGTTGCCAGGGTTAGATTCTGGATCAGTCATTAGTTTAATTTAATAATGATACAATTGAAGTTAAAATTATATAATAACACAACTCTTATTTTGAAGGGACAAATATGTTACAGTTTCATTTTATTTGATTTTACAGGGCAATCATAAAAACAATACAAACTGAGAACAACAAATGATTTGTCAGAATAATCTGAAAATATAATGATTGAAAGGAAAATTAATTATAATGTAATTATCAAGTTTTCCAATGATGGAAGACATGAATTGGAACCATTAATAAGACAGGTGAGCCAGGTGTCAGTGGCTCACACCTGTAACTACTTAGGAGACTGAGATCAGGAGGATCCAAGTTCATAGCCACCCAAGGCAGACAGTTCTCAAGACCCTATCTCCAAAATAACAAAATGGACTGGAGATGTGGCTTAAGCAGTAAAGTGCCTGTCTAGCAAGTGCAAAGCCCTGAGTTCAAACCCCAGCTCCACCAAAAAAAAAAAAAATGTAGATTATTTTCTTCATGCAAGGTGGCAACTTTTGTAAATATTTAAATTCTCTCCTAAGAATAACGAAGATGCACACCTGTAATCCCAGAACTCAAGAGTCTGAGGCAGGAGGATTACAAATTCCAAGCTAGCCTGGGCTACATAGTGATATCCTATCTCAAAAAAAACAAAGAATAGTGAAGGTAAAGTATTGTTTCCAAGAGAGTTTCAAGGTTATAAAAATATCTGAAGAAATAAGTTACATAATATATTTTAAGAAGGCAATTGTCATGTAATATTTTTAACCAATGAACAGCAAAATTGAATACCCTAACCACCCAATAAATATTTGTGGAATTCAGGATGAGTAAATAAATATTAAATAATCTGGAAGAGGAACATTTATAATTAGCAGGAAACTTGATACTAATATAAAGAAGATGAAAATGTATCAAATTCAGATTAATCTTAGTCTAAAAAGAATGAATTAAAACTTAATAGCTGCAAACAGCGAGGACAAACATGTCTAGTTGAGAAACCAGGGAGGTAAGACTTAGGGGCTATCTGCAGAGCACTCTTTTTTTCCTTTGGTGGGACCGTAGTTTGAATTCAGAGCTTTTGTGCTTGCAAAGCAGGTGCTCTACAACTTGAGCCACACCTCCAGTCCATTTTGCTCTGGTTATTTTGGAGATAGGGTCTCTTGAACTATTTGCCTGGAGCTGGTTTCGAACTACAATCCTGATCTCAGTCTCCCAAGTAGCCAAGATTACAGGTGTGAGCCACAGGCGCCCAGCTCTGCAGAACACACTTCATTCCCACACAGTGCTTCACCATTATTTTTCCACAGCAAGTTAAATTCTTCTCAGTTTGTTCTTCCAAAGAACTTCTAAGTAATATTTTCATGGGGTCTTCTCCTATATTACCTTGGTCTGTCTTCACAACCATTCTGCAGGGAGTTTATTTTTAGCTCAATATAATGAAGGAGGAAGCTGAGGTCTCTGAAAGGGAAACAATTTGTCAATATCATGACTAAGCCAGGTGCTGGTAGCTCACGCCTGTAAGCCTAGCTACTCAGGAGGCAGAGCTCAGGAGGATCGAGGTCAAAGCCAGTTGGAGCAAGTAGTTTGTGAGACCCTAACTTGAAAAAAAAAAATCACAAAAAAGGGCTGGTGGAGTGACTCAAAGTGTAGGCCCTGAGTTCAAGTCCAGTATCGTAAAAAAAAAAAAATCATGACTAAGGGTCCTCAGAGACCTGTGCAGGAGGTCGTGTCTTCAACCCATCCCTTCCTCCAGTATCCTGCCATGTCTTCCTGACCTCTAACCCCTTCCTCGTCTCTATTTTAAAGGTCAGCCTGCTATCTTCTTTCCTTCCTATCATCCACTGAATTCATCTGAGTCTGGATTTCCAGGGTTATCAAACACAGTACCACGTAGGCCTGGAGGGAGGAAGTGAGTGAGAATGAGATATTCAGCCCCTGCTGTCACTCAGTGACATGAGGCGCTGAGAGTTGGCTCAGAAGGAAAAAGCAGCTCAGTTCCCTGTGAAGCCACTGAATCTAAAGAACAAAGGTTGAGGCCCCTAAAATCAATCATTGCAAAAGTGGATGGCCTCGTACGAGATAGAGGCTAACCCTGGGAGACTAGACCATTATGCAAGGTCGAGGGGACCAGGAGGCCTTCCCCTCTCAATCCCACTTTGTGGTCTCAACACACCTCCTTTGTGAACATCATCCAAGGAACACCCATAGATATCCCTGCTTCAAGACTTGTGCCACACCTACCATCTCAGAGCAAAATGTTTTACCTTGTTGTCTGCCAAACACTGTCAAGTTATAACCATAAGTGGAGCACAGAGACCCTCCCCCATGTTCTCCACTGAGAGTGGAGGACCGCTTTCAGCCCAGAGTAAAGATAACCAGAGATACCTTGATAGCCTGAGCAAACAGCAGCAAAGATGAAAGAGACATGGTAGAACACGAAGGTCACCTTGGGGTGTGACCACGCATGCACATACATGTCTATAGAACCTGCTTTGGCAACACGTTGCAAAGGTATATGTCTGTTGCCTTCTAAGAGGTACAGTTTCCCATTTGAATGCTCATGTCACCAAGATTTTGGCACAATTTAGATCATCTTTCCCATAATCACTGAAATATGCAACAGAGCATCTATCTTGCAAAAACTCTCCTGGCTGTTTTTCCCTGGTAGGCTTGTTAATTTCTATTAGAACAGCATTAATCCACTGATCATGATCCCAGCCCACTCTCTTTTTAGTGTTCAATGGGATCCTATTTGAAGGTGACTCATTTCTGGCTCAGCTCTTACACATGTGCTTTTCTGTGCATCTGAGGTGCACAGAAACCCTAAAGACAGTTGCTGATGACTGTGCCATCTAAGGATGAATCACTAAAGCTATGGTGGGATTAAGTGACCACTTAGAAGAAAACAAAGAATGCTTCCTTTGAATCTGCACATGACTGAAGACAAAAGCAGTTCTTGAGACTTTCCATGGTGACTTTCACCCCCCAAAAAAACAAAGAGGTGCTAAGCTTGTGTAAGGCAGTTGGCTCTGGCTCCCCGTGATTCCTTGTAGAACCTGTAACCTTGGGTTGGAGGCAAGAGAGGCGAACCCTCTCCTCTCAAGACATCTACTCCTCTAGACGTTCTTCCAGGGAATGGTTTAAGTTAGCTTTTCTTGCATAAAGCAGGGTAGCACCCGTTTTAGAATCCTACTTTCCCCACCCTAATAAGATTTATGGAACATTTTGAGTCCCACGGGATCTACCATGTTTACTCCATTGTTCATATTTGATTGCTCTTTGACCTAAAAAAAAAACAGGCAATTTTGGATGGCTCCTAATGTAATCTGCTCCCCCCTTTTTTGGGGGTGTTGTGCTGGGGTTTGAATTCAGGGCATAGCACTTGCAAAGTAGGCACTCTACTGCTTGAGCCACATCTCCAGTTCTCTTTCTGATATAAAACATCTCCAAGCAAAAGAATAGCCAAGGCACAAAAGTGAAAGCAGACTCAGCCAGGCACTGGTGGCTCACACCTGTAATCCTAGCTTCTTGGGAGACTGAGATCAGAAAGATCATGGTTTGGGGCCAGCCCAGGCAAATAGTTCTCAAGACCCCCATCTCCAAATATAACCAGAATAAAATGGACTGGAGGTGTGGCTCAAGTAGTAGAGCACCTGCTTTGCAAGTGTGAAGCCTGAATTCAAACTCCAGCCCCATTAAAAAAAAAAAAAAAAAAGTGAAAGCAGACTCCAGAAGCTAAAGGGTCGGTGCATTTGCTTTACAAACACTCAAATCAAGGAGAAATTGGGAGACATGGAGCGGGACAAGAGGCAAGCAAGTCAAATGCTGAGGGGAGGAGCAATGCCACAGTATAGATGAAAGACCATCCCATGGCTGGCCAGGCAGGACAGTGGGCACTTAACTGACATGGAATCCTTAATTTGAGTCTTTAGTGCTCCCTCTGTCTTCAGCTATGGCTCACGGCCCTGACTTTTAATGAATCTTTCATTATTATTTATGCAGTTTTATATGTTTCTCTTTTGCACATTTCAGTCTTATTTAACCAATACGGAACTTCCTGAGAGCAAGTTCCTGTGCCATGTTTCAGCCTCTCAGGGCAGTAAGTGCTCAGTGAGTACTGCCAAATAGACCAGAAACTGATCTGTGGGCCCAACTGGTAAGGTAAACTCCAGGAGGATCAATAATAACCACATGATACATAGTAAGAACTTTTGTAAATGTCACAATGTATCCACATCCAGCACAAGAATAATAATAATAATAAAGAATGAAAGCCCAGTACTTGAAAATAAAAATGTATCTACTTTTCGGGATTTAGAAGGTCAAAAAATAGATAAATAGGACACCCATCATTTGATAGTACTTCCTGTCTGCTCTATTCTTGCCACACATTACATTAGTCCTAAACCTGGCAACCTTAAAGGATATTAGTATTACTAATCTCATCCTACAGCTCAGCATATAAAGAGATTTCAGGAAGATAAAGTGACTTGCCTCAAGCACCCAGTAAGGATTTGAACTTCAAGCCCAGGTATGTTGATCCCAAAGTCCACACTTCCATTGGCTTTCTGTTTTGCAGTTTTCAGGAGTGCTTGCCACTTTTATCATTATTATTATTATTATTATTATTATTATTACAGTCAAGTTTGGGATTTTGTTTTGAGACAGGACCTTTTGAGGTATCCAGGCTGGTCTTAAACCTCCTTGATCCTCCTGACTCCACTTCCCAAATGCTGGTATTATAGATATGTGCCACCACACTGGCTCCCTTTTTGAATAATGGAAATAATAGTTAAAGCTTATATAAAGCTTACTCTGTGCCAGGAATCATTCTAGATTCATTTACCTATGTTAATTAATTCAGCCCTCACAACAACCTATTGGTGGGCTATTATCCATTTACAGGATTGGAGCCTCCATTGCCCTGGACTTCCAAATCAGGACCAAAGGGAGAGTCTGTAGAACAATGAAAGATCACTGTCCTGTGCATTTTCTGTAGAAGAGGAAACCCTGCATTCCATGTGGTATCTCACCTAAGCTCTGCCCTACAATGGCCTGGGGAAGGAGCAAGGCAGAGGCGACATCAGCTAGAGCTTGGAGGAGGGCCCCTCAGACCTCTGCCAGCCCCTCTTCAACCCTGTAGAGGTTTTGGTTGGGCTCTCTAGCCGCTCTCTCCAGAATCAGCCTATGCCTCATTAATCCTTCTATCTACCAGCCATGTCAAAGTCCTGGTGAGGGAGGGCCCAGTAGTTTGCTATGTAATCCCAGCAACTCAGGAGAATGGCGGTCCCAGGCCAGCATAGTCAAAAATCATGTCAACCATAATCTCATCTGTACGGGAATCTCATAGGTGGGAGGATCAGGGTCCAAGTGTCACCCCAGGTAAAAGCAAGAGACCTTCTCTGAAAAAATAACTAAAGCAAAAACGTGCTCAAGCAGTGGAGCGCCTGACAAGCAAATGCAAGGTCCTGGGTTCAAACCCCAGTACCAAATTAAAAAATAGAAAAAAAAAACCTGGTAAGGAAAATATAGATGAATAATAATTTCTTGTTCTAGGCTCACTCGAAGGTTTGGCATAACTACAACAGAAATTTCCGCCCGCATCAGAAGGGCTGGGTATCCATCACGCTGGGGTCCCATTGGATTGAGCCAAACAAATCAGACAATGTGATGGATATACTCAAGTGCCAGCACTCCATGGTCTCTGTGCTGGGATGGTTTGCTAACCCTATCCATGGGGATGGTGACTACCCGGAGGTCATGAAGAAGGAGCTGCTCTCAATTCTGCCCCTCTTCTCCCAAACAGAGAAGGAGGAGGTGAGGGGCACAGCTGATTTCTTTGCCTTTTCCTTTGGACCCAACAATTTCAAGCCTCTGAACACCATGGCAAAAATGGGGCAAAATGTGTCACTCAATTTAAGGCAAGTTCTGAACTGGATTAAACTGGAATATGACAACCCTAAAATCCTGATCGCTGAAAATGGCTGGTTCACAGATAGTCACGTGAAGACAGAAGACACCACAGCCATCTATATGATGAAGAATTTCCTCAATCAGGTTCTTCAAGGTTGGTTGCACATTAGATCATTTTTTTAAAAACAATGTTGAATCCTTATAGTATATTTGTAGTCACCTTTGAATGGGTGATTATTGCTGACTTTGGGCTTTAATATTGTCCAATTTGACAGATCTTTTTTTATTTTTTTTGGTGGTACTGGGGTTTGAACTCAGGACTTCATGCTTGCTAGGCAGGTGCTCTACCACTTGAACCACTTCTCCAGCTTGACAGAACTTTTAAATGTTATTTCCATGTCCTTTTTAAAATAAAAGTGTGAGAACAAGCCGGGAATGGTGGCACATACTTGCATTCTCAGAACTCAGAAGCTGAGGCAGGAGGATGGAGAGTTCAAAGCCTACCTGAGCTACATAGCAAGTTCCCAGCCAGCCTGAAAGTGAAACCTTGTTTCAAAAAAAAAAAAAAGGTTGAGAACAAAACAATTTCAGACTAAAGATAGATCCTTAACTGGCAAGAGGGTACTGTCTTGTTCTTAATAGGGACAGTGCTAAGTGAGATATGTTTAAGTTTGCTGTCAGTAATACTGGGTTTGAACTCAGGGCCTACACCTTGAGCCACTCCACCGGCCTATTTTTTTGTGAAGGGTTTTTTCAAGATATGGTCTCATGAGCTATTTGCCCAGGCTGGCTTTGAACCGCGATTCTCCTGATCTCTGCACCTCCTGAGTACAGCTAGTATAGTATAGTAAGAGCCACCATTGCCCAGCCTCTGATGCTCTCATGATTCCTTCTGACCCTCCACCTCTCCTCATTCCTTTTCCATTACTTAAGCAGTGACACCTACAGGTGACAGTTAGGAACACTGGAGCCCAACACAAGCTCAGGTTCTGATGGCTCTGTCTCTGCCTACAGTTGGGCTCCATTTCACATGAATGGAAAAAGATTCTCTAAGCCTCTGTAGCTCTCGTTAAAGTCTGGAGGAAAGTCCCAGATTCTGCAGGAGGGAGCCTGCAGGGAGGTCCTCGGGGAGAGCAGGTCTCTGCCCCAGTTCTGCTGCTCCAGATGGCAAGACAGCACAGCAAGGAACTGAGCCAGACACAGCTTTGGGCCACGTGCATGTGGGAGCCTCAGAGCAGAGGTCACTGTCTACAGGCACTGGGGCAAGGGCCATGCACTTGGGCAGAAGGGGTGTCATTCCACTCCTCCTCAGAAGCCTACAAAACCCACACACTAGAATCAAGGCTGTTGAAATTTACTTAACTTCTTGGAATATTTTGCGTATTTTGGATTTTCCACCTTTTAGGAAAAGAATGTCAGTGATAAATCCCCCAAATGTAGAAATGAGGCATTCAGGGCTAATTTGCGTATTTATTTATTTTTTAATACTGCTTGTTGATTTTCATCTTTCATTTTTACCCAATTCCTGTGAGTTATTGAGTCAAAGTTTTAAAGCTAGAAAGGTCCTTAGAGATCATCTTTTCCAATCTTTTCTTTTTTTTTTTTTTTTTTTTCATTTTTCTTTTATTATTCATATGTGCATACAAGGCTTGGTTCATTTCTCCTCCAATCTTTTCTGTTTATACTTGAGGAGATTGAGGCCAGCAAACTTGCCCAATCACACCCTCCCAGGAACATAGCCGGACAAGGCCCCGGTCCCCTGCCCTTCAGCCCAGCCAGTTCTCACTCTCTTACATCATTTTGCTTCGTTTATCTACAGTCATTTATGTTAATTCTAAGAATTGATATTTTAATCCCTGAGGGACAGTTTCATAGAATGATAGCTTTTCCACAAATGGGAACAACCCAAGCTTGAAATGATATTGGTCATTAACAGACATCTGTATGGTCCCAAAGCAGTCTGGAAATTACCATGCCCCCTAACACAGATTTGCACACTAAATGTCAGGATTTATTTATTTAGGTGGGACTGGGGTTTGAACTTAGGGCTTTATGCTTGCAAAAGCAGGTGCTCTACTGCTCGAGTCACACCTCCAGTCCATTTGCTCTGTTTATTTTGGAGATGGGGGTCTCTCAAAGTATTTCCCTGAACTAGCCTCAAAATGCAGTCTTCCAGATCTCTGCCTCCTAAGTAGCTAGGATTGCAGGCATGAACCACTGGTGCCCATTAAATCTCAGGAATATTTTCTAGTTTGATTCTTTGTCATTCGGTGGTGGGTGAGTGAGGGGGGGAGGCTATCATTCTAGATGAAAATAACAACCCCTTTTAAGTATAAGCCTTCATTTCCTATTTGACACAATGGACTCTCACATTAGAAGAAAGGTTGGCTTCACAATAGGCCGTGCCCTGGCACACTGTTAGTGGAATTGTAAGTATGAGCTAGAGTGTTTAGCCCTCCTAACATCTCTGCCTGCATTTCTCTGTGCAGCAATAAGGTTTGATGAAATACAAGTGTTTGGTTATACTGCGTGGTCTCTCCTGGATGGCTTTGAATGGCAGGATGCCTACACCACCCGCAGAGGATTGTTTTATGTGGATTTTAATAGTAAGCAGAAAGAAAGACAACCCAAGACCTCTGCACATTACTATAAACAGATCATACAAGAAAATGGTTTTATTTTAAAAGAGTCCACGCCAGATATACAGGGTCAGTTTCCCTGTGACTTCTCCTGGGGGATCACTGAATCTGTTCTTAAGGTAAGTGGCTGCTTCCAAATTAACCATAAACTGGGGGAGAGATTATGCAATGTTTTACTTATTTCATTTACTCAATGACAGCTGAGTCAGAGATCAGGGGATCTGACCCCACAATCTGGGGCAAAATAAGTTAGTGAGACCCCTCTCACAAACAAGCAAGGCATGTGGTGTTCCACACTTATCCCAGTTAGGAAGGAGACAGAGGTAGAGATAGAAGAATCATGGTCCAAGGCCATCCTGGGACAAAATAATTGCAAAATAACTAAAGCAAAAAAAACCAAAAACAAAAACAAAAACTGAGGGTGTGGCTTAAGTGGTAAAGCACTTGCTTACCATAAGCACTAGGCCCTAAATTCAAATTTCAGTACTGTAAAAAATAAATCTTCCTTCCACTCCAAAACTCTTCTATCACCTCCGTTTTCTATTTTTTTATATAACAGTCATCACTATCTAACTTACTATGAACTTTACACATTTTTCTTATTTATCACTGGTTTCCCCCTGCTAGAGTGCAAGGTGCATGAGGGCAGAGATGTTTGGGGTTCTGTGCCTGCTAGGATAGTCCCAGGTGTGTGGCAGCACCAGGTGAATGAAAGAGATCATCTTTTAGAGCCTGTGAGACCTTGGAGATCTCCCATTCCAATTCTTCATTTTACAGGTGAGGAAAGAGAGACCTAGCTTGGTGCCATGGCTCATGCCTGTAATCCTAGCTACATGGGAGGCTGAGATCTGGAGGATCAAAGTTTGAGGCCAATCAGGGCAAATAGTTCATGAGACCCTATATTCAAAATAACTGGAGCGAAAAATGAGCTGGAGGTGTGGTTTAAGCAATAGAATGTTTTGCAAGCATGAAGGCCTGAGTTCAAACAGGAAGGAAGAAAAGAAAGAAGGAAGGGAGGGAGCGGGGAAGGAACTAAGATATACTGGGATGGACCAGACAAAAAGATCCAAACCTTGAGGAGTGGGCAAAGTTCCCAGGTTGTGAATCTCAATCCCTGTAGATACTAAGAGTAACACAGACACAGTGATTCATCTTCAGCTGTGTCCCTTCCAAGGCCAACTACTTATCGCAGTTCCAACCTTTTCCTCCACATAGCAGAGGCAAGTTGTCTTTTCCCCAACCACTTCAAGTGGGTTTGGTTTTTCAAAATTCCAGACCCAGCAAAGAAAGATCCCAGGGGATTCAAGAATTCCTCCTCCCAGCTGTCTGGGGTCCCAGCTCGCAAGCTCCTGCTTTGGCTGGAGCCCCAGCAATTTCCCAATGATTGACTGTGAATGTCCGCCCCAATCTCAAGGAAAATCACTAATGTGATCCATCAGGTCTAGACTTCATGCTTACCCCTGGAGCCCTGCAAGGAGTCAGCCTCCATTGAACCACTGGGACTAAGAATGGGGATAAAGGGTTATGAAGAAAAGTGAGAGTGCTTTTTGAAAACTCCTCCAATGTATGAGTATATGCTGTGCAGCCAGAAAACTAGAGACTGATGAAATGAAAATAGTATTTTTTAAATATTTCTATAGCCATCCTCTAGTATCTTAGCATAGTTTTCTTCTGGAGTTTGAACTCAGGGTTTCAAGCTCACAAAACAGGCACTCTAGGACTTGAACCACATTTTGCTCTGGTTATTTTGGCGATGGGGTTTCTTGAACTATTTGGCCGAATGACCTCAAACCTCAATCCTCCTGATCTCAGCCTCCCAAGTAGCTAGGATTATAGGCATAAGCCAACAGTGTCCAGCCTCCTTCATTTTATTTTGAAAAATTTCAAACACATACAATAAAAACATATATTCCCTTCATCAAGACTGGCCAATTGTTAACATGTTGCCTTATCTCTGCCACTCTCTTGCATGAAATGTTCATATGTGGTAGACATCATTACACTCCACCTTGAATATTTCAACCTGTATCTCCTAAGAGCAAGGACATTTTCCTATATCATTTTAATATCATGAAGATACCCCAAAATTTATCATTAACTCAATACCATCTGTGTGTGTGTACACATGTATGTGCGTGCGTGCATCTGTTATTTTCTAAACCCAGAGTCTTGTGCAAGCTAGGCAAGTGATCTACCACTAAGTCCCAAGTCCCACTAAGCTAAATCCCACTACTTTAAGACAGGACTGTTATGTAGTCCAGGTTGGCCTCCTGAGTGCTGGGATTACATGTGTGTGTGCCACCACACCATGCCAAAATAGGGAAATTCTAATTAGATTGTTCTTCTATATTTATTACCTGGATTCTTTAAGTTCAATGATTTATAAATTATGACATTATTTCTTTCTCCCTTTAGCCACTAGGACCCCTTCAAGCTGCTCTTAGTTTTTCTTTTTTTTCTTTTTTTTTTTTTAACATTTCCCTCTCAGTTTGAAGCACTTCCTTATTTTCTACCACAAGCTATCCCAGCCTCACCTCATTCTCTTCCTGCCCTAGAAAGAAACATATCTCCAAGAAGCCCAGAATTCTTTTAGTGAAGAACAGAATTCTAAACAAAGTCTGGGAGCTGGGCTGGGTTTAGGGTACATCTTCTGTAACTAAATCTAGCAGGTTAATGTGATCCCACACATTTGCTGTGTACAACTAATGCTTTCTGGAGGTTTTTTAAAGTAAAGTAGATTTTTATTTGATCTTGCCTTGTCTCATGGCAAGATTGCCTTTTGTAAACATATTTTCAATACCATTATAATATCACGAAGATACTCCAACAAAACCCTGAAGCTGGCCACCAAGGCTAGGAGGGTTTTACTCAAATAATTAATTATACAGATTTAACTTCATGCTCACATGATCAATATTCCCTTAGTTTAATGTTGTAGATAACAGGTTGGCAGATGGCTAGTGGGTAGTTACATGGTTTTATAATTAGACTATGAAAGATGACAGATGAGAAGACAATTAGAGGGTAAATATTTACCAAAGATTAATTATCACTTAAATTCAGTTATGGGGGAAAAAGTATTTTAACACAAGTACAAAATTTTTACTTGCCCTGATTAATCTTGAATTTGGAAATATTTTCTTAAACCTTTGTTTTAGTTTAGACTCAAGGGCATAGCAGGAAATTAAGAAACCAGAGAAAACTAAGCCCACAACGTTGTTACTTTATGCTTGCACCACGCTTTAGAGGTAACAGAGCACTTTCTCAGAGAGCCAAGTCCTCACAGCACATTCAGGAGGTGGGTGACACAACTCTGTCACTGTGTAGTTGTCCAGCTGTGTATGACCGGAGTCCAGGACTCTCTCCACCATGCAGGGAAGGAGACACTATCAGATACAAGAGTCAACCTTGGGAGTTTCTCGGGCATTTTACCATCCTTTCCACTCAAAACCTACATTCCTTATGCAGAGAAAGCTTTCATACTCTCCTGTTGGATGAATGGATGCTATTTCACAGGCACGTAGGTGGGAGAGATACTGGATGCAAATGTGGTACCACTTGGACTTTTCAAATAGGAAGATTGAAGCATTGCATTCAGCAGACACAGGAGATCATTGCCTGCTCTCATCCCACCTGCCTCTTTAGGAATGGCAGCTGTCAGTCAGCCAGGGTCACCTAACCCCCAGTGCTGATCTCAATGAACTCCTCTACCACGAGAATCTTCCTTTGATTTCAATTTATGACAGAGCTTAGAATCCATCTTTCATAATTACTTTTAACTGAGGGTACCAAGTCAATTTCCTGATGCATTTGAACAGAATTACAGAGACCCTACTATATAACCTGGGCTTTTAGGTCAAATGAGCTGGAAAATGGTTTTTCAGTCTCAAATAATTTGTTTTCAAGTCAAGCTCTGGGTGTGGTTCCTTCCCTGTGTTTCCTGGTCTCCCTGGAGATTCCAGGGCTGGGAAGGAGGATTATCCATCAGGCCTTTTCTTTGACCTCACCAGGCGAACAGCCGGAACCCACAGGCCGTTATGAAGACTATAGGCATAATTTATTTTCTCGTAGTGAGAGGCGGCATAAGATGGGGCTTTTCTTCCTCCCGGAGGGAGTACACTTGAGAGCCTCAGTGGCCAGCGCGTGATCACCTAAATGCACTTTGTCTTCCGCAGCCCGAGTTTATGGCTTCCTCCCCACAGTTTACTGACCCTCACCTGTACGTGTGGAATGCCACCGGCAACAGATTGCTGCACCGAGTGGAAGGGGTAAGGCTGAAAACTCGGCCAGCCCAATGCACAGATTTTGTGAGCATCAAAAAACAACTTGAGATGTTGGCCAGAATGAAAGTCACCCACTACCGGTTTGCTCTGGACTGGGCGTCGGTCCTTCCCACCGGCAACCTGTCAGTAGTTAACCGACAGGTTCTAAGGTACTACAGGTGTGTGATCAGCGAGGGACTGAAGCTCGGCATCGCCCCCATGGTCACCTTGTACTACCCGACCCATGCCCACTTAGGCCTCCCCACGCCTCTGCTGCGCAGTGGGGGATGGCTGAACCCAGCCACGGCGCAGGCCTTCCAGGACTACGCAGGGTTGTGCTTCCAGGAGCTGGGGGACTTGGTGAAGCTGTGGATCACCATCAACGAGCCCAACCGGCTGAGCGACATCTACAACCGCACCAGCAACGACACCTACAGGGCGGCGCACCACCTGCTCATCGCCCACGCCCTGGTGTGGCACCTGTACGACCAGCAGTACCGGGCGACGCAGCGCGGCGCCCTGTCGCTGTCGCTGCACTCGGACTGGGCCGAGCCCGCCAACCCCTTCGTGGAGTCGCACCGGGAGGCGGCCGAGCGCTTCCTGCAGTTCGAGATCGCGTGGTTCGCAGACCCGCTGTTCAAGAGCGGGGACTACCCGGCGGCCATGCGGGAGTACGTCGCGGCCAAGCGGCGGCGCGGGCTGTCCGGCTCGGCGCTGCCGCACTTGAGCGCGCACGAGCGCAGGCTGGTGCGCGGGGCCGCGGACTTCTACGCGCTCAACCACTTCACCACGCGCTTCGTGATGCACGAGCCGCAGCGCGGCAGCCGCTACGACGCCGACCGCGACGTGCAGTTCCTGCAGGACATCACGCGCCTCAGCTCGCCCAGCCGCCTGGCTGTCATGCCCTGGGGGCAGCGCAAGATGCTCGCCTGGATCCGCAGGAACTACGGCGACGTGGACGTCTACATCACGGCCAACGGTGTGGACGACCAGTCCCTGGACGATGACCAGCTCCGGAAGTACTACCTGGAGAAGTACGTGCAGGAGGCCCTGAAAGGTGAGCCTGGCGGCATCCCCGAGCAGGGAGGGACACCACGTGGGGCCAGTGGGATCTCGTCCTGAAACCTAGACTATCATTTTTGAAATTTTAAACATGAAAAGTAGCATAAGCTCATTATGGAAAACTTGAGTATTTTTCTAAACAACCATGTGACGTCTCATTTCCCCAGACAAGCAGTGTTGGTATGTTGGACCAACAGTGTGCTCGCTAGGCATTTTTAATGCAGTTGAGCTCATGGAATAAGTTTCGGGTCCAACTGGGCCTCCCATTTGGCTTTACTATGGAACTACAGCCCAGTCCCTATTCTCCTTTCTAGTGGTGCTGGGCTGAAACATACATGCTAGGGAAGAGCTCTACTATTTCCAGCCCACAGCCTTTCTTTTTTTCTTTTGTAGTGGGACTTTAGGCTTTAAGCAGGCATTTCACCACTTGTGTCACATCTCCAGCCCATTTTGCTTTAGTTATTTTGAATATGGGGGTCTCCTGAACTATTTACCCAGGCTAGCCTCGAAGTGCGACCCGCAGATCTCAGCCTCTCAGGTAACTAAGATTATGAACCACTGGCTCCTTGCTCCACAACTGTTTTATTTTTTGGCAGCACTGGGGTTTGAGGTCAAGGCCTCATGCTTAGTGGGCAGGCCCTGTATCATTTGAGCCACTCCTCCTGGCCTTTTTTATGCTGAGTATTTTCGACATGGGGTCTCGCAAACTATTTGCCCTGGCTTACTTCGAACAGCCATCCTCCTGATCGCTGCCTCCTGAGTAGCTAGGATTACAAGCATGAGCCACTGCTGCCCAGCTTCACAACTTTTTCTTACTATCAACTACAGATAAGTGTCCCTTATCATTAAAAAAAATCTGTTAGCCAGGTGTGGCAGACACCTGTGACTCCAGCACTTAGGAGCCTGAGGCAGGAAGATCACAAGTTGAAGACCAGCCTCGACTACATAGTGAGACCCTATCTCAACTCCCCACCCCCAAATAAACTTTTTTTTTTTTTTTTTTTGGTGGCACTGTGGTTTGAACTCAGGGCCTTATGCTTGGTAGGCAAGGACTATATGTATATATTTTATAGCTATTATATTAATATAACTTCATGTATGTAATTATTCTTTTAATGATTGATATTAGGCTTTTTTCCCGTACTGAAAAAAATAGGCATCTTTGTATTAATTTCTGATTACCTCCTTAGGGTGGATTCCCTAATCCAAAATTATTGGGTCATATGTTACAAATGGTTGTGTATGAGAGTACCTACCTAATATATTCTTTCCAGCATTACCTTTTAAAGCTTTATTTTTAACTGTTCACAGCTAAAAGACCCCAGAAATGTATTTGGCAAATATTGAGCACTTAACATGGGCAAAAACTGTTCTGGGTGCTATATCACCATTGGACAAAATCAGGATTGCTGTCTTCAGCTAGGCACTGGTGGCTCACGCCTATAATCCTAGTGATTCAGGATTAAGTGATAGAGTGCCTGCCTAGGAAGTGTGAGGCCCTGAGTTCAAATTTCAATACCGCCCATTCCTCCCACCCCCTCAAAAAGTTGGATGGAAACAACAGGTGTTGGCGAGGATGCGGGGGAAAAAGGAACCCTCTTACACTGTTGGTGGGAATGTAGACTAGTACAACCACTCTGGAAAAAAATTTGGAGGCTACTTAAAAAGCTGGACATCGATCTACCATTTGATCCAGCAATACCACTCTTGGGGATATACCCAAAAGACTGTTACTCCAGAGGCACCTGCACATCCATGTTTATTGCGGCACTATTCACAATAGCCAAGTTATGGAAACAGCCAAGATGCCCCAGCACTGACGAATGGATTAAGAAAATGTGGTATCTATACACAATGGAATTTTATGCAGCCATGAAGAAGAACGAAATGTTATCATTCGCTGGTAAATGGATGGAACTGGAGAGCATCATTCTGAGTGAGGTTAGCCTGGCCCAAAAGACCAAAAATCGTATGTTCTCCCTCATATGTGGACATTAGATCAAGGGCAAACACAACAAGGGGATTGGACTATGAGCACATGATAAAAGCGAGAGCACATAAGGGAGGGGTGAGGATAGGTAAGACACCTAAAAAACTAGCTAGCATTTGTTGCCCTAGAGAAACTAAAGCAGATACCTTAAAGCAACTGAGGCCAATAGGAAAAGGGGACCAGGAACTAGAGAAAAGGTTAGATCAAAAAGAATTAACCTAGAAGGTAACACCCACGCACAGGAAATCAATGTGAGTCAATGCCCTGTATAGCTATCCTTATCTCAACCAGCAAAACCCCTTGTTCCTTCCTATTATTGCTTATACTCTCTCTACAACAAAATTAGAGATAAGGGCAAAATAGTTTCTGCTGGGTATTGAGGGGGGGGAGCGGGAGGGGGTGGAGTGGGTGGTAAGGGAGGGGGTGGGGGCAGGGGGGAGAAATGAACCAAGCCTTGTATGCACATATGAATAATAAAAGAAAAATGGAAAAAAAAAAAGTTGGATGGATATATTTACAAAAGAGCAAGCATACAGAAGACTGAGTCCTGGGACACTTCAATATTCAGAGTCCAGAGGGAATATTCTGAGGGAAAAATAGCAAAAAGACTGAGTAGAAGCCAGTGCTGTAAAAGAGACAAGTGACAGTGTTTTTATACGGATCCAATCCTATACTGAAGGAAACAGATGAGGAGAAAGCAGAGCCATGTCTTTAAGTAGGCAAGAGGAGGGTAGGCTTAAGTAGAATCAGCCTCTGTTAGAAGCATGGGCAAGTTACCTACAATAGCAACAGAAGGCAGAATGAGAATGCAGATGCCAGGAGGGCAGATGTGACTTATGGGAGATTGGAGGTCTTCTGAGTGATTCAGTTTTTCAGTGAAGTAGGAAGCAAGATCAGCACCTCAAACCAGGATAAGAGAGCTGTGACTGAGGAAAGAGGAATGGTATCAGACAGACAGCTAGGGGAGAGTAAGTGACAAGGGGAAACCAAGGGTGGCACCAGCATGTGAGTCTGAATCAGGACAAACAGGTTAAGATTTCTACTTGTGACACTTGAATAAATGTGACAATTGCATGGAGCCCATGGTTCAGGTGGTAGAGCACCTGTCTAGCAAGTGTGAAGCCGAGTTCAAACACCAGTACTGCTCCCCCACTCCCCAAAAGTGACAAGTACTTTCACTCTCAAGATCTTTTTTTTTTGGACACAGGGTTTCATTATGTAACCCAGGCTGACCTCCTGCCTTAGCCTCCCCAGTGCTGGGATTATCACTAGTTCCTTTTTTTTTTTTGGTAATACCAAAGTTTGATTGAACTCAGGGCCTTATGCTTGCAAGGCAGGTGCTCTCTCACCTGAGCCACTTGGTGCTAGCTTCTTAAATTTGTTTTCAACAGGTGTTACTGGATTATTTATGGATCAGAAGTTTTACTTCAGATTTCTAAATTTAAACTGTCAGTTTTACCTCTGTCAGTTGTTTTAATTGTTGCTGTGACCAAACACCTGAGAAACAACTTAATGGGAAAAATTATTTGGCTGTTTCAGTCCAACATGACTGGCTATTGTTTTTCAGTCCATGGTGGGAAGAGTATCATGGCAGTGGGGAGTTATGTGAGAGGAGCTACGCCCCTCATGGCAGCCAGAAAAAAAAAACAAAGGGGAATACGGAAGAGAGCAGGCAATGATAGAACCCCAAGGACATACTCCAATTACTTACTTCCTTCAATTAGGCCCGGCCTCCTACTTTTTACCAACTTCTGGTACACCATCTTATATGAATTCACCAATGGATTCAATAAGTGATTAAAGACCTCCAGATATGTCTCTGGAAATGCCCTCACATCCAGAAGAGTGTTTTATTCATCTCCTAGGCTTTTTCTTTCTTTTTGTGGCACTGGGGTTTGAACTCAGAGTTTTGCATCTGTACTTGAGACATGCCTCTGACCCTGCTAGGCATTTTTAATCCAATCAAATTGACAATCAAGATTGATTGCTCCCCCTCTTTAATGAGAATCTTGTCTATAAACATGGCTTTAGCTTATTTCAGTGAAAACGAAATTCTTTTTTAAGGATACTTTATTGTTCACTTGTGATGATTAATGTTCACTTCTGGTATTTTTCAGCATACCTGACAGATAAGGTCAAAATCAAAGGCTATTTTGCATTCAAACTGACTGAAGAAAAATCTAAACCCAGATTTGGATTCTTCACATCTGATTTCCAAGCTAAATCCTCCATAGAGTTTTACAACAAGCTGATCAGCAACAGTGGCTTCCCTTCTGAGAACAGTAGTCTTAAATGTAGTCAGACTCCAAGAAACACAGAGTGCACTGTCTGCTCATTTCTCCTGCAGAAGAAACCTCTGATATTCTTCGGTTGTTGCTTCTTCTCCACCCTGGTTCTACTATCATCATTTACCATTTTTCATCAAAGAAAGAGAAGAAAAATTTGGAAAGCAAAGAACTTACAACACATACCACTAAAGAAAGGCCATAATAGAGTTCTTAGCTAAACTATCTCATTTCTGTTGTCATGATAGCTTAAAAATTCACTCCAGTTCCATATACTGGTAACTTACAGAAGATAAAATTTTTATGAAAAGACAATTTGAGATATAGCAGTAACCAAGTGATGACAACCATTGTCTTTGCAGTGTGATCCAACTGAATTTTCCCTTAGGTGTTGACATCTGTGCATGCAGTTCCTGGAGCTGAAGGCTTACCCCGACAGTAAGCCTGTGAGGATTACCTGACACATTGCTTCAGGAAGTGTGATGAGCTATAGTCTGCTGTTTTCTGTAAATACCAATAGCTACTCATGGCAAAGGAATTATTCTTAAAAAGTGAAATTTTGTTCCAGTAGACTCTATAATAGAGATTTAAACTAGTCTTCAAACTGGATAGTCGGTAGTGACATATTCTGTCACTTCTAACAAGGTGCTTCCCCCTTTGGGTCAGGGTTAAGGTTTGTGGTTCTCAAATGAAAACAAAAATGAAACAGAAGACAAACAGTGCTTGCCAAAAGCCAGTTACAACATAGACTACAGCTGTCAACCTTAGTTCTTCTCAAAGCATTTCTAAAACATGTAGTAAGCTTCCTCTTACTACATTTTGATTTTTTTAATGCGATTCTCAATAATTGTTCTCATTGAAACATGAGAAACGATTAAAGAGAGCTACACACAATGGTCTACAGAGTAGTTCATTCAGCCTCACAGTACAGTAGTTTCTCCTTTAAGCAAATGAGCTCATTCCTACTCCCCAGATTTTTGTGAGGTGACAACATGTGGCACCCTTAGGAAAGTTAAAGACGTAGTTTTTAAGACTGGTTATCATAATAGTCAAAGAACCGTACTCCTAAAGACCTAATTTCTGCCCTGAAAGGCTTCACTGTGTCTCACATGCAGACAGGTACCTCAAGGTTAGCAGCCACAATGTGGACCTGGCAACTGTGACTCTGGATGAACTCAGAATGTTGGCGTGAATGAGTTAATTCTGAAATCTTAACTTGAAAGTTTGATTTAAAAAAAATATAAACTGTGCTTAAGACTTGTTCAGAGTAAAATGGAGATAGAAAACTTGAAAAAACACATACCTATTCTTTAGTCAGCACTTAACTACACATCTACATTAGCTAACCACTCTCTGCCCTCTAGGAATTTAGACTTTAAGTAGTTCCATTCACAGACAGCCTTATTAATACCCTAAGTTTAAGGCTATTAATCCTTACAGGCTCTACCTGAGAGGCCAAATTTAGTCCACAACTGGGATTCTAACTGGTTATATAAAGAGCTCCAAAGAGGTAACTGGTCACTTCAGGCAGGTGCCAGTGATGGGAAGGAAATCAAATTCCTATTTGGCTGTCAAACTCAAGTAGCAGAACTGTTTTTCTGTTTCTTCTTGCCCCCAAACCACTAACTTCTGGTCTTTTCAAGTGATTTGTAAAGAATTTATATTTTCCCTTTGAGAACTCACTGTGCCTAATAGTATGCATAGTTACAGCTGCTAAACTGTTTCATTGTGAAGTGTAAAAAAGCTCAGCCACTTCTAAAAATCACTTGGCTGTTTCTTCCCCCTTTGTGAACTGGTTGTCAGTGGTGTCAACTTACTAACCTCTTTTTAACACTGAGGTCATGAAAAAAATGCAGTCAACCACAGTTGAATATCATGGATTTGGAATTAGAACTTTGAAGTTTTACTTTCTAGGCCGTGTGTGCCATACTCATGCCTATAATCCTAGCTACTCAAGAAGCACAAATCAAGAGGATCACGAGCAAAGTCAGTAAGACCCACCTTAACCAATAAAAGCTGGCATGGTAGGGCACGCCTATCACCCCTGCTATGTAGGAAAAGTACGATCACCATCCAAGCCAACCCCTGCAGAAAAGTGAGAACCTATTCCACAGTACCTAAAGAAGTACTAGGGGTGTAGATCAAGTGGTAGGACCTCTACCTGGAGCGCAACTACAAATTCAAAGCCCAGTACCACCAAAGTTTGCTTTCTTATTTTTAAATATTTTGTGCCCTTTGTTATCTTGTGCTTATGGTTGCAAGTGTTCATATTAACACCTAAGCCAAAAGCATGTCCCCTCTTTTCCAAACTTGTTGCCTTGCCACAAATTCAACATCCCAAAGCTTACAGGATCCTCCCTTGCTGTCCACTTGGGGGGATAAGTTTACTAGTTTTTAAACTGCCATCATAAGAAAAGCCTTCAGTAAAATTAACCTGGCACATGATCTATTGTACTTAATATGACCTCTTACTAATCTTAGTATGTATTGAAATGTCATTACCTAGTGTTTTGACTAGAAAATAAGGCCAGCCCATTTGTGTCTAAAATGTCTAATTTCCTATGTTTAGATTCTGAAAAATAAGGCCTGTACGTTGTGCCTAAATGTTTAATTTACAATGTTATTACTCCAAATAAACTCATTTATGCCCATTTTATTTAACTACCAATCTTGTTGACTGCAAGAACTACAGAACATGAATAAGTTTTGGCACTGTAACTGGGTTGTCTCCTGTCCCAAAGAGCCTCCCTGTCTCCTGAGCTGTGTCAACTGGCTAAATTACTTCTGGGTATGTTCACATTAATAAAATGTGGACATTTACATCGCAGATTTGGGGAAAACAATACAAGTATTCATCCACAGTGAACATAGAAGACAAGTCTTCCTTGGGGAAGAACTACTCATTCACCATACAGAAGCTGTTGAATGGGAATCATTCCTTAGGCAAGTCCAGCCGCTGAAATTAACTCTGCATACCAGTCCACTCAAGAAGGAATCTTTACTACAGGGACAACTACCATCCAACACTGACATTCCCAAGTGTAACATTTTTTATTTTGGTGGAACTGGGGGTTTGAACTCAGGGTGGGCCTGCTAGTTAGCAGGGCCTCTACCACTTGACCCATACCCCCTGACCACAACAGTAACATCTCTACCCTGCTGTAATATTGCCACTTGGAAATTTCTCCCTCAACCCTCAGAACTTTTAAAATCTTGCCAATACTTTTCAAAGTATCTCCCTAGCCCCACTATTACTGACTCTCTGGCAATCAGAACCATCTACTTAGCAAATGGCTACATATAATTTTTTCTAGATACTTGGAATATCAGTTTGCAAGACTGCATTCTTATGGTAGTTACATTCTAGCAGAAGAAAAGCATACAAACTGTAAACTTAATTCTAAGTGCTATGGACAGAAACAAGCATAATAGGATAAGGAGATGATAGGATAGGGTAAAGAATGCCACCATTCTTAATATGATCATCAAGCTAACCTTCACTAACTATAGAAATGAAGAAGTAACCTTGGTTCAGGTAGTGCTTTCCAGGGCTAGTGGAGTGGCTCAAGTGTTAAGAGCGCCTGCCTAGCAAGTGTAAAGCCAAGTTAAAACCCCAGAACTGCCAAAAAAACAATAACAAAGATCTTGTTACTGAGCAACACAAAGCTCAGCTCTGCTGAAGAAATCAGGTAAGTTTAAAAAGGTTTTAGGATGTGAGCTGGACATGGTAACATATACTTGTAATGTAGGAGAAAATATTAATTCAAGGACAGTCTGAGATATACAGCCACACCCAATCTTTTCCCCCCTCCCCCAAAAAAAGAGGCAGAGTGCTACGATCTGTTTCAATAAATATCCTGGTGAAAAATATAATGGAGAAGAAAGGTGGCCAATTGAAAGGCTATTTCAGTGGTAGAGCACTTGCCTTACATTTCTCAGGCCCAGGTTTGATCTACAGCACCACAAAATGGACTTTTATATTATAAATGAACCCCAATCACTCATTTGCAATTACCATTCTATTAAGTATCCTCATACTTATAATCCCATTCAATGACTACCACAATTCCAATGTTTAAAAATCCAAGATCCCTAAAGTTCCAACTGACTGCTACCTCCTTAACCTCTACAGCCCCTTTTATTCAAGGCATTGAATGTCTCCACCAGGCTTTCCTGATGGATTCCACATGGTATACAAAAGTAATGAATGTCCTGGAGGGGTGGTAGTACACACGTGTAATCCCAGCACTCAAGAAGCTGAGACAAAATTGAGTGTGTGGCCAAACTAAAAAAAAAGTGTGGCTCAAGTGGTAAGAGGACTTGCCCAGCAAGTACAAGACCCTGATTTTAATCTCTAGTACCACCAATACAGAAAAAAAATTGTCTGAATTTCATCCAATGAGATGTTTAATACTGCAAGATCTTGAGGGTCAACATGTTGACTTGAAGGGAAATTCAGGCTCACAGTAAAACTGTGATCTGAAGAAATTGTGGAATTGTGCTTAAAAAAAAAAAAAAAGGAAATAGAAAGAAAAAAACTGAGCTAGAGGACAAGATTATTGAGGTTGGTTTGGTTTTTTGACAAGGTCTCCCTGTATAACCCAGGCTGGCCTCCAACTTGTGCTAGAAATCCAGACATACTCCACCAACCTGGCAAAATTATTGAAATCTTGGACCACAACAATCATGTGGTCACCAGGAACACAAACTGACTGCATTTTCCAACCCTTACTCTGTCCCACCTATCAATAGTTTTTTTCTAATTGATCAGGGCATACCTGCCTCACCAAATTCACGCCCAGGCAACATTAAACACCTTCAGAATCCTTCCAAAGTTCTCTGTCCACTTAACAGTCAGATAGGTGTTCAATGCCATTGGTAATACATTGCTTTTGCCCCAAATTATTGTCAAGAACCATATTCTGACCACTTGTTCCCAAGAATAAATTCCCGGTCTATTCCTTCAAATGCACACTAGACTTGACTCTTCAATGTATTTGCCAAATAGTTGGAAAAGATTATGTTCCAAATCAATAGAAGTCTTTTATTACATCATTAAAGTATCACATATTGGTATTACAATTCCGATGGTGTTTCTGTAGCTGGGTTAACTGTAAAAAGAAATGAAAACATCTGTAAATTTCCATCAATACCCTTGCCCAGAAAAATTCTTTTCTAAATGACATAAAACACACTTTATAGTTTTGAGTGAGCTGTAAGCATAGCAAAATGCATGTGAATCCCATCTCTTACTCTGCTAAAGTTACTATTTTCCAGAACACTCTCCACTCCCTGCCATTGTCTTTTCTTTGCAGTGCTGGGGACTCAAACAAAGGACCTCATGCATGCTAGGCAACCATCAATATAAGACCCCTAATAAATTAAGAAACACCTCATCTAGATCAGTAATGAAACCTACAGATATTAAAAGAACTTACCTTAGCTCTTACTCATCAGCCTGCTGAACTGTTCCTTTTTCAGAAACATAGATGCCATCCAAAAACTTTCTAATATCCTTGTTTTTAACTGTTGTGGCTTGCTGAATCAAAGCAGCTACATGAGTGAAAAGATAAATCAATTATTTCATCAGCCAAACTCATCCTAAAAAGAAAGCATTAACTGGATGTGGAGCCCACACTTGCAATCTCAGCATTTGGGAGGGATCATGTCTCAAAAAACTAACAAAAAAAGCAGCCATATCAAAGATGAACTGCATATACAACAGCGGTCCCATAAAATTAAAATGGAGCTAAAAAATTCCTACAGTCGATTGACATTGTACTGTAACATCACTCACACTTCACAGTGATGCTGGTGAAACTACAGTGCTGCTAGTCATATGAAAGTACAGCACACACAACTGCATATAGTACAGAATACTTGGTAAGGACAATAAATCATATACACATACCTTTTTTGTGTGTGGCTATCACTACACAACACAGGCTGGCTGCCCTTGAACTTAAGACCCTCCTGCCTCAGCTTGAGTGCTGTGATTACATGCTTATGTCACCATGTCCTCAACTATGCCATACTTTTTAAATTACTATTCAAAGTACAGTCCTCTTCTTATATAAAAAGTTAATATACCACGTTTCCCTGGAAGCAGCCTTATACATCTTATATCTACCCTGTCTCTTTAAAAGCACCAACAGGCCATGTCAATTGACTGACCTGAACCATCTAGTATATACTACACTCATGCATTGACAAAATTGCCTAAATGATGTATTTCTCAAAATGTACCCATGTCCTTAAATTACTACACATGACTGCATTCTGTAATATGCTGTACTAAAAATCTCAGAATGAGAGTATTGGGCTAGGTGCAAGGGTTTCATCCATAACCCCAGCTATATGGGAGGCAGATCGAAAGCACTGCAGTTCAAGGCCAGCCTGAGCAAAATGTTAGGGAGACCCCCATCTCACTCAATAAGCACCACCAAACAAAAACCCTTCAGAATACCAGTGGTGTAGCTTTTTACTTAAGTTTCCACTTTAAAATACTCATAGCAAACATACACACCTGAATTTGAAACAAGTTCAATATCATTTCCTTCGAGGATTAACTCATCTTTCTGGGCTTGAGATACAGAACAAGCTACACCTAAAAAGGAAAGGGAATTTGTGTAGTACCAACATAAAATCTGCATGAAATATTTAACTTCTGCTAATAATTTACTCCATTTAAAACTCCATGCAACAAATGAACCTCTTCGTATTTTTATTTCACAGGATCTGATTTATCTGGGCCCAAAAGCATTTTTGTGTTCCAGTGGGTCCCAGAGTAATCACTCATTAATTCAAGTAGATTCTGTAGGTAGTACAATCAAGTTGTTCAAAGGTCCAGAAAAGTCTTATTTTTACTATGGCCCTCAAAGACAGGGGCTGGCCTCAAACTTTTGGTTCTCCTCTTTGGGAAATATGGGGGATTACAGGCCTCAGCCAACACTGGCTCAGATTTCATTTTTTACGCAGGAATTCTCATTAAATGTTGATGAGCACAGCTGCTTACAAAGAGCTGGAGGAGTGGCACCAGTACGGCAAAAACAAATGTTAGCTTCTTCTCCCTCTTTTCCAAGTCAACAAAGAGTACTAAGTTTTAAATTTTCTAACTTTTCAGTGTTTATTATGTGTTAGCCAACCACTGTAAGTGCTTTTCAATTTTAGATCATTTGAACTTAGAATCTAGGTTAACCAATGTTCAAGTGCTTTTTTGAAAAAACACAAGCAAAGCAAGTTAAAACAAGGAAAATGACCAAAGGAGGCTGTGTATTTTCAGTTGTAGAGCACTTACATTCAAATACCCAAAGGTTTAATTCCCAGCACCCACCCACACAAAAAAATGATACCATACCCAGCAAACTACTGCAAAAGAAACAATTCTGAAACAAATACACTTTTAGTCACAGTCAACCCAAAACACCTTCAAAATACTAAGGGGAGACATAAAAAAAAAAAAAAAGAAGACTTGAGGAATAATTTCTGAATCATGTCTGAGGGCAAACACCTACCTGTCCTCATACGAACTCTGCGGATGTATTTCTCACCCAGGAAATTTCTGATTTCAACGAGAGACCCGTTCTCCTGAATAACTACGTTGATAGGGAAGTGAGCATACACAGACCTCATCTTGTAGCGGAAGCCCTGTGTTTAACATAAAAGCTGTGAGGATGCTGAGAAATCTTAAAGAAATTCAGTTAAATTTTACCAGGCTGCAAGAACTCACAATCATCTTGTCTGAGCCTCTGGAGTGCTAGGATGACAGGCATGCACCACCATGCCTGGCCTCAAGTCTTAAAATTTTGTAAGAAGCTTGTTACTTATAATTTAAAAATTTAGCACAGCACTCTATCAAGGTTTTTTTTTTTTTTTAAAAACCAAGAGTCCTACAGTTAACATTTCTAGTATGATTGTCTCTACTAGACAGCAAAGCTCCTTAAAGAAGCTTTTATTTTACTATCTCTTATGCACATAGTAAAGAATGCTAGCTTTTTATAAGACCCCCAGACCCCCTTACTTAGCTTGGACATTAAACTAGCCTTTACTGAGTTACTTAGGCAAGCCAAATGACAGAATTGACAACAAGCCAAATAAAACAGGGTCCCAAATAAAACTTAGGGACAAGGGGCTGGTGGAATGACTTAAGTGATAGAGCACTGCCCTAGCCCTGAGGTCAAACCACAGCACAGTCAAGGGGAAAAAAAAAAAAAGAAAGGAAAAAAAAACATAAAACAAAACTTAAGAGAGCAAAGTTTTCATGAGAAACATGACTTAATAGGTTTTAAGTACAAGGTGCCATTAGACATACCCTAAAAAGGCTAGGTTTTAATTCAAGGAAAACCACTTCAGCATGAACTTTTTATCTTTGGTTAGAGGGTTTGGAACAGACACCAAACATGTATTTCAGCCGAGAAATCACGTTATTTTTCTATCCAGACTCAAGGTCCTAATAGTGACAGGCACACCAACAAATAAAGTCTACACCATATACTGAAACTGCAGTGTATTTTCTACTAAAAAATTCTGGGCCTTAGGCTCAAGCCTCTAGCAACACAGATACACACACACACCCACCTCTCTCTCAGGCATGCTACTTGTCAAGTTCTAGAGTCCACAAATTTCATCAAATCACATGTATATATTGTCCACAAAACACAGCTGAGAAATCTCAAAAGGTCAGGGGGAAAAAAAATCAGTTCACTTACCAGTGTAACACCCTTGATCATGTTCTGTACATGACTACAGATTGTGCGGACGGTGGCCAGTTCCTTTCTGTTTCCCCACCATTTGTCAACTCGGAGCTGTAACACAATAGAAACTTTGGAAGTCTTTCCACAAATAAGCAAGCTTGAATTGAAAGCTCATTTATTCAAAACGAATCACTCTAGATTGTAGAAATATCCTAAATAAAACATGGAGTTTTCAACTATGACAATTTAGCCACATACAAAGGTTCCTACGGTTAACCATCATTTTTCTTAGTAGGCCTCATCAGAACAACTTTGCAAAGGTAACAACCCACGACCTGGGATTTTTGCCCAAGATTCAAGAGACCTCACTTCTAGAATGTGAAATCACTGCCTGAGCTCCTACAATTCTCATAAACAATTTTAAGACATTATGAGGACTATTAAGCTCCCCAATACACTGTATTAATTATCTGACTTTCCAACTTCACTAAAGCAAATAACATTAAATACTAAACTTACTAAAACATTGCCCTTAATTCGGAAATACTTAAAGCAACTCAATTTGACGCTGTCAGAAACAAACACCTTCCAAAGTAATTGAAATTTCCTTCCCCCAGGAAAGCTCACCCTCTTCTTCTTCTTCCCCAGCAGGCTGAGCTCCACGTTGATGTGGTTGAAGTCCCTGCGCAGGGTTCCCCTGGGGCCCTTCACAATCACTGTGCGACCCTTCAGGGTGATGTCCACTAGGAGAAAGCGAACCGTGAGGTCACACGATCAGGCTGGGGCACAGTGACAACGACTCAGACAGACACCCACACACCCACCGCGTACCATTCTCTGGAATGTCGACCGTCTGATTGCTGAGGATGGTCTTCATCCTGGAACACAAACAACGGGTAAGCACGAGGACGACGCCGGAATCGTTTCCCCCAAACACCGAGCACAACCCCGCTCCTGCCAGAAACTGCCAGACTTTAGAAAAGCGAGGTAGCAGGTTGTCCGAGAACGGTCCGTGGGGCGCGCAGGCCTGGAGAGGCCCGAAAACGGGTGTTAGGAAGCCCAGCGGGCCAACTCACGAGCAGCCCAACCCCAGCCGTGAGCGCCATCCCTGTAGGGTAGAGTAGCGGGGGAAGGCCAAAAGGCCCAGAAAGAACTCGCATCTCGCGCCGCCAGGTCCTTATGGCGCTCGCCGCACTGGGCTACAATCAGGACACTAGTTCTGAGCGTCGGACTCGCTTTGCGGGCTTTCCCCTTTGCCGATGGCTTCAGATTCCCTGGGTGCACAGAACATAGAATCATCCTCACCTCGCAGTAGCTGCGGCAAAGAGAAAGCGTATTTCGTCATCACGTTCTTGTATTCCGTAAGGGGGGGGCCTGCGTATTGCGTCATCAGCGCGCGACGACATTAAGGCTAAAGCAGCTAATCGCCGAGCCGCTCATGTTGTACTAGTCAGGATGGATTTGTTTTCGCGTCATAAATCGCGCGTCGAGTTTTGCATCTGTCCCTTCCCGGTAATTGGTGGTCCCTCCACGCAGCTGGACCTAAAGAGGGGATGTCTCTGCGCTGCGGGGAAGCCGCCCGTACCCTGGGGCCTCGGGTGAGCGGCGAGAACACTTTTGCTTATCCAAAGCTAGAGGGATGTATTGCAAGTTGTCTTTTAAACGTCCCAGACTCAAGACAGGATTAGAAAATTCAAAGGATTGGCACCTCCAGTTATTGCAGTTTCTACTTGTTGAAAGGCAACCTTTTAGTACCTGTCAAGGGTACATGGACATGTGACATAGTCAGCTAGTCCCAAGGGGGTTTAGAAACACTAGCATTCAGCAGTTAACACCTATTATTTAGGTTTGGTTTCCTTCTTGAGCCTTTTTTAATTTAGATTCTAATCTAGGCAGTTAGGGCTCCTAGGTCATTTGAAATAATTTCTGAATCACTTCTTGGGCGTTACCCTCCCTCTTAGGTATTACAACGAGCTAAAAACAAGTTATTCCAGACCCCACTAAACGAATGTCAACATGAACTCTTTCTTTAGGTATTTGGAAGATATTTATACAGCCCAGTCAGATCATTAAGTTCCTTACAAGATGAAAAAAAGGAATTTTTACAGAATGGACCAGACCTTCAAGATTTTATATCTGGTGATCTTGCAGACAAAAGTACCTGGGTTGAATATAAAGGAAACTTAAAACGCCAGAAAGGAGAAAGGTAATTGAAAATGAGATAATTTTAATGTCCCATTCTCTCATTGAGCATTATTTTCAGATATAATCAAGCCTTAGATTTTTTAAGTTTAACTAAAGGTCATTAGAAAGTAATGATAACAGACCTGATAGAACAGATAAGTAGATAAAGTTAGAATCTTTGCTTTTTTTCTGTGCCTTATGACAATTTTTCATCTTTCTTCTTAAGACCGACCATTTTCTACTACCATCTCCCCATCTTATACCCAGCAGCTAACTTCTTGAGAAGGCCAATTAGGCCTTCATAAGTTTTTAATTGTTAATGTATATTGATGATCAAACTTGCTGCTTCGCCCAGACAGTTTACATGTTACCTATGTATACTTTGCCCTAATTTAAAAGACTGGTGAGGATTTTATGCAGAGGACAAGTTGTTTTGAGAAGCATATATCCAACAACTTTCAGATCACAAGTGAGTAAAGTCAAGGGAAACCAGAGACACAATCTCCACTCCAAACTTTAGATTTTTTCCATTTAATAAGGACATAAAATCTAGAATGTGGAGCAGATAGTGCAGGTTGAAATCTCTCCTTACTCTGAATTAGTAAAGTACTTTTGGTAGTATTTTTCATAGGGAATAAGGTGTTCAAAAACTTCATTCTTTTATTACAATGGTGCAACACCGAGCTTTTGCAAAATGTAGACATGAACACAGTGCTCTGTTACACTCCATTATCACGTTTAGTAAGTGGTTTGAGAAAACCTAATTTGAATCTTTGTTCTTACTCCTATGGCAGAAACTATGAGTTAATGTAGGATTCTGGAAAAAATTGGAATGAGGAATTATAATTGAGCAAAGTAATTTCAAAACTGGGAGATTATTTGGCAATCTGTTAATAGACAGTCTGTTGGCTTTTCTTAGGTTAAGACTACCTCCTTGGCTAAAGACAGAGATTCCCATGGGGAAAAATTACAACAAACTGAAAAATACATTGCGGAATTTAAATCTCCATACAGTAAGTTGTCAAAGTGTTAATTCTATTTTAGCCAAAGGCTACATATTTTTAGCTTAAATTTTTTTTGCAACAAGGTCTGTGTAGTCCAGGTTGGCCTGGAACTCATTATGTAGCCCATACTGGCCTCAAACTTGAGGTCCTCCTGCCTCAGCCTCCTGAGTGCTGGGATTGCAGATGTGTGCCACCATGCCAGATAAATAAATATATAAGTAACATTGAAGAAAGTGAGTAAAAAATGTACAAAAACATATTTAGGAGCTGGAAACTAGCTGGAGTGCTTGCCAAGCATGTGTGAGGGCCTGAGTTCAATCTCCAACATAATCGCCCCCCCCCCGCCAAAAAAAATTAAATTCATTTTTCCTGCAAGAGAAATGACAGATGTTATATGATATTACTAATGTGCTATCATTCTCTTTTCCTTTCCCTCTTTTTGCTCTGGTTTTGCTCTGGTTATTTTGGACATGGGCCAGAGCAGGGGGGTGGGGGGGTCTTACAAATTATTTGCCTTGGCTGACCTCGAACCATGATCCTCCTGATCTCATCCCCACAAGTAGCTAGTATTACAGGAGTTACTGGCATCCAGCAATATTTAATTTTTAATAGTGCAAAAAAATAAAAGATTTTTCCCTGAAGTTTGGGATATAGGGTTATTGGTGGTAGTGGTTTTTCTTTTTTTTTTTTTTTTTTTTTTGGTGTTACTGGGATTTGAACTCAGGGCCTCATGCTTGATCTACCACTTGAACTACCCCACCAGCCCATTTTTGAATTGGGTATTTTTAAGAGACGGTCTCTCAAACTATTTGCCTGGGATGGCTTCAAACCTCAATCCTCCTCTCTGCCTCCCAAGTAGTTAGGATTATAGGTGTGAGCCACTGGCACCCAGGTAAAAACATTTTTGAATAGTGGACTTTTTTCAAAACTATGTTGTAAACAGTAGACAGCTTAAAATATCTGATATTAGTTGATGAGTTGGTAGGTATTTTCAACCTGATTCTGTTCTGTTCTCTTTTACGCACAGGTGTGTGAGGAAGCACGATGTCCCAATATTGGAGAATGTTGGGGAGGTGGAGAATATGCCACTGCCACAGCCACAATCATGGTAAACTCTAAAGCTTTAGTCTGGAAAAGGAGAGGGACATTTTGTGTCCTCCTGAAAAGGTGCATTATGAACTTTTGGTCAGATTTTTCATTCCATTTGGGTTTATAAGAAATGTGAAGAAAAAAACCATGCCAGAAAAATCTACAGTGTTGTGATTTCACCCTTCTCTGAATTAATTTGTTACTAGTTCGTCCAACCATTAACAAATTAATTCTTCTAACTGTCTGATAGTTAGTTGTGTGCTGCCTTGAGGTATCTCTTCTAATTATCTTTGACAATGTTCTTCGTGATTGCGGAACTTTCAAAGTATTTTTCTGCCTCACCTATTTAGAAAGAAGAGCCATGCTTTCTCTTTAAATCCCACCCAGCCCTGTACATCCATCTGTTGATTGAATATTTTATGTCTCTTAAAATAGTACTTACTGATTATTGAGTAAATGCAAAAGAATATTTATACTATGAGTAAGTTATAGTAAATAACAATGTAACAGACACCCTGAAACTGGCTTCCAGTTTGAAAGACAAAGCTTATGTTATCTTTGAAGCACAAGTCTGCATGCAGACTGCATATTGGTATCTTTGAAGCACAAGTCTGCATGCAGACTGCATATTGGTATCTTTGAAGCACAAGTCTGCATGCAAACTGCATATTGGAATCCCTGGGGTTGTTTGTTTGTTTTACTTTTTGTGGTATTAGGGTTTGAATTTAGGGCCTCACACTTAGGCAGGTGCTCCACAACTTGAGCCACTACGCCAGCACTGTTTTGTGCTGGGTATTTTTGAGACAGGGTCTTGCTAACTATTTGCCCAGGCTGGCTTCAAAACTTGATCCTCCTGATCTCTGTCTCCTCAATAGCTGAGATTATAGGCATGAGCCATTTACACCTGACTAGGATCCCATTTTTTTTTTTAATTTTATTATTCATTTATTTATTTGTCTGTTTATGCAGTTAGTGGGATTTGAACTCAGGGCCCACACCTTGAGCTACTCCACTAGCCTTTTTATTGTGCATGTGATGGGTTTTTTTCAAGATAGGGTCTTAGGCACTTTTTGCCTGAGCTGACTTCAAACTGGAATCCTCCTGATCTCTGCCTCCTGACTGCTGAGAATATAGGTTGGTGCCACCACGCCCAGCTTTAAATTGAGTTTTAATATTTAGATTGTGTGTTCCCTTCTGATCAAATTCCAGCTCCTCTTCCCTTACTACTATTAATTCAGAGTTTATCATTTCCTTTTCCTTTTAGTTTTACCACATGTATTTGTATTCCTTAACTACATGTTATTTAATTTTTAATGTTTCAGATGTTATATAAACAGAACTGGTCTATTTACATTCTTTGTAGCTTGCTTTCAACATTATGTTTGCCAGGGTCAGCTGTCTCTGGAATGGAAACTGTAACATTTCTATTCTAGTTGATGGGTGACACCTGTACAAGAGGTTGCAGATTTTGTTCTGTTAAGACTGCAAGAAATCCACCTCCACTGGATGCTGATGAGCCCTACAATACGGCAAAGGCAATCGCAGAATGGGGTCTGGATTACGTTGTCTTGACATCTGTGGATCGAGATGGTTAGTACTGTGCCATCCTGGCCCATACCAGAAACTGGCTTTTAACGAACTGTGCCATCATCTTGAACAGCGGGTTCCTTTCTTTTTAGATATGCCTGATGGGGGAGCTGAGCACATTGCAAAGACTGTATCATACTTAAAGGAAAGGTACTTGTTTCTGCATTTGTCTGTGTCATTTAAGAGCCTATAGAACTCATATGAGTTCAGTTGAAGGTCTTCACCTTAAAGCAGCAGTTATTAAAGTCTTAGGTAATTATACCCTCTGATAATGTGCTGGGAAATATATGATCATTTCTTCAAAGAAAGCATAGTCATGCACACGGATACACATTTTCAGAAAATTTGAGGGGTACAGTAACATGAATGTACACTTGGACCCACCCACACATGCTTCATATTTGAGTGGGGTCTAAATTAAGTGATTTCTAGAAGTGGAGATCAGAAGAATCTTGGTTTAAAGCCAGCCTGGGCAAATAGTTTGTGAGACCCTATCTTGAAACAACCCTTCACAAAAAAGGCTGGTGGAATGGCTCAAGGTGTAGGTCCTGAGTTCAAACCCCAGTTCCAGAAAACAAAAAAAAAAGTGATTTGTCTTTTTTATTCTTTTTGGTCGGTGTGGGTTTTGAATTCAGGGCTCTACACTTGCACAGCAGGCACTCTTCCCCCTTGAGACACACCTCCAGTCCATTATGCTCTGCTTATTTGGAAATGGGATATAGAGAACTGTTTCTCATGGCTGGCCTCATCCCTCCCTATCTCAGCCTCCCAAGTAACTAGGATTATAGGCATGAGCCACCAGCACCCAGCTGAATGATTCTCTTTAAAAAGTGTTAAATCATTGTCTCCTCAGCAGTGATTTTGACTAAACATTATGTAAAAGTAGTTAGGAAGGGGAAATAAAGGAGAATGATGGAGAGGTGAATTTAGCTAACATATATTGTCAGCACTTTGCAAATATCACAACATACCTCCCCAGGACAACAATAATATGATAATAAAAACTAAATAAAAAATAGTTTAAAAAAAAAAAGTAGTTGGGGAGACTAGGGACATGATTCAAGTGGTAGAGAACTTGTCTAGCATGTGTGAGACAATCCCCTCCCCAGTACCACCAAAAAAAAAATAAAGTCAGGGACTAAGGAGATAGGTCTGTGATGGAGTGTTTGTCTAGTATATGCAAGGTTTGCCGCCCTGTGCCACAAAAAAACCAAAATAAAACTTTGTAGGAAGAGGTGAGCTCTGACATTGTTAAAATGCATAGGTCTTGATGTGGAATTTGTCCATATGTGTATACCCTTGAAATTTTACCTAGAATCCACATTTTTATTATCTTTTAATCACATACATTTTAAAAAGCATTGAAAAGGAGCTATGTTTGTTTCCCATAACTCGGGGCTAGTGTAGCTTCTACTAAATAATGATTCCTCAGTGTTTTGTTTTTTTTTTCCTATTTATTATTGTTCACTTAAAAATATGTTTTCAGGGCTAGCAGAGTGGCTCAAGTGGTAAGAGTGCCTGCCCTAGCAAGCGTGAAGCCTAAATTCAAACCCTTGAGCCATAAAATATATATATGTTTTCATCCCACTAAGTTTCTTTCATAAGCCACTAATGGGTCTCATCTTGGCTTACATTCATAATCCTAGCTATTCAGGAGGCAAAGATCAAGAAAATCTCTTTTTGAAGCCAATCCAGAAAATAGTTCGAGAGATCCTATCTCACAAACACCCATTATAAGAAAGATCTGAGGGACTGGCTCCAGGTGTGGACCCTGAGTTCAAACCCCAGTACCACAAAAAAAAGAAAACAGTGAAGCTGGGCATGGTTGTATATGTCTATAATCCCAGGCCTTGGGAGGCTGAGACAGGAGAATCTTAAATTCAAGGACATCCTGGTATACATAGTGAGACCCTGACTCCAAAACAAACGGAACACGAAAAAGCCAGTGAGTTACAGAATATGTTCTTTCAAAATCGCTTATATTCATGAGAGGGTGTGTGTGGTCTTCTCTAGCTGTGGTCTTTTCTAGCTTTCCAGTGAATGGTTATAGATACTCTGCCATTGAGTGTATGGAAAAATTTTTCAGCTGTCTGAATCATTTCTGCTAAGGAAACAACCACTCTGTGACCAACAAACAAACAAACAAAAAAACAACTCCATGACCTAGTTCACATAATGAATTGACATCACCAAAGTATAAACAGGAAGATTAGTGTTTAGCTTGTATTTCATTTAAGCAAAATTCATTACTCAATAGCCCAGAATACAGTTTAAAACCCATGGCACTAGGGAAATGTTTGCCTAGAAGAAAAGAAGAATTTGATGAATTTGCAAAAGAAAGAAAAGCCAAAGCAATCAAATAATCTTTGCATTCATGTAGGAAGAGTCCCAATTTACCTTCCAAATAGTAAAACAATTTATATTTACTGTTTTAACATTTCATACTTTAATTCCTTTAAATAGTTTTACTTTTCAAAAAACTTAAATTAGGTTTGAAAGTTTATATAATTTTATTTTATTCATTATCATTACTGCATGCAGATGTGTTTTAACCATTATGTACATATTATTTGTTTTAAGTTTTTTACTTTTTCTCATTGTGGATCATACGTGAACATTCCTATGTCTGGCTTTTTCTTAGCAAGGTTCTGAAGATTACTCTGTTAAAACTGATGATGGATGATTAGTGACAGTTTATTTTTAAACAACAGTACTGTCAGTTTTTTCTCTCTATTTGATACTTATCTTTTTCCCTCCTAGGAATCCGAAAATTCTTGTGGAATGCCTTACTCCTGACTTCCGAGGAGATCTGAAAGCAGTAGAAAAAGTTGCTCTGTCAGGATTAGATGTGTATGCACACAATGTAGAAACAGTTCCAGAGTTACAGAGGTGACTGCATGTACAAAGTGGCTGGGAAGTTAGGAGGGTCACAGCAGGTGATATACTCTCACTTGGCAGGGATGAACTTTGCAGTGGATGTTTACAAAGTGAACTCCCTTCTTTCCTTTCTTCTTTTGTCTGTTATAGAAAAATCAGAAAACATAGCCAACAAAAACACATAAACATCACCCCTAATATTTCTACCCAGTAATATCAGTTATACCACCTTAGTGTTTATGTAAATTATATACATTATTCCTTTAGGTCACTAGACCTAAAGGAAGTTATGGTAAACAGTAACAAATATTTCTACTATGTTTATGTAAATGTAGACACTGAGATGGTAGTAACTAATATTATTAACTGTTTTGATAACACATGAGCATCTTTTTTCTCTTTTTAAAATATAGTGTCATATTGCAAATGCCATTAAGTATTATTTATTTCAATGAACACTTCTCAAATGGAAAAAAATTTATACTAGAGTGACTGCTTTAGCTGTCATTCTAAAGAAAAGACTTAAAAATATATTTGGGGGACTGGAGATATGGCTCATAAAAGAGTGCTTGCCTAGTATTTAAAAGACCCTGGGTTTGATTCCCAGTACCACAAAAAAAAAAAAAAGAAAGAGAAGGAAGGGAGGAAAGGAAGGGAGGGAGGAAAGAACATTTGGCACTTGTACATATAATAAACGATACAACAGAAAAAACTGGTATTTCAAATCTCTTAAAAAAGAGACCTGGTCTCAAAAAAGAATATCAATTTAAAAATAGGATCCTAGTCAGGTGCTTCTGTCTCACACCTGTAATCCTAGTTATTTGGGAGGCTGAGATCGGGAGGATCATGGTTCAAGGCCAGCCCAGGCAAATCGTTTCACAGACCCTATCTCCAAAATAACCAGAGCAAAATGAACTGGTGGTGTGGCTAAGCAGTAGAGCACCTGTGTTGCAAGCACAAAGTCCCAAGTTCAAATGCCAGTCCCACAAAAAAACCAAAAACAAAAAAAACCCCAGTAAAATACCTGGTGTGGTGGCACACACCTATGATCCCAATACTTAGGAGGCTGAAGATTGAGGCCCAGCCTGGCTACATAGTGAGAACCTGTTACAAAAAAATTTTTTTAATTAAAATTAAAAGTAATAATGACTTTCTGTTTTGGCAATTTTGTGATTATGTTTAAGTTCACTTTTTTTTTTTTTTTTTTTTGGTATTAGATTCAAATGAATGCTGGTGTAACATCAGCAACTTTCTGGCCTTTGGCCTTTCTTGCCATTTAAGCCATGGTAGTTTGGCCATTGTTAAAGTCTAGAACATAGTTCACACCACCCTGCCATGATATTGCCAGCAGTGGGTGCCAGTTTCTCTGTTTTCACTTAAGAAACATTATCCTGTGCAGTGAAAATTCCAGAATCTTATATTTCTTTACTTAAAGACAGCAGTGTCATGTACTCACCAGCAGAGGGCAGCTTAGTCTTCTGAAAAGAAATGCATGTGAACGTTTTAGGCCTCTGAATTGTAGTGTCAGGCTAGTTTTTTCTTTGTTTGCTTACTGTCAGGATTTCTGACTTCTGCTTTTTTCTATTTTGACTGCCCCGTACAGTTGTTATAATTTTGAGCGTCAGAATTCTTATTTCTCAGTACATAAACTGAAGTGCTTTCTTCTGGTTTTCTTTGCCCGGGCTTGAGAGGGTTTACAATTTGAACCCTCATTTTCTTTCCTAAATTAATAGGCATCTGTGCACAAGTGCTACTGTTGATCCATATAACGTAACATAACGTCCAGAATGTACTTTTCTGGTCTTTCAGGTTCCTTGCATAACTATGTACATGGTTGAACTTGTTATTCCTGCTAATGACAGCCCTACTGTTTTGCAGGAAAGTTCGCGATCCCCGAGCCAATTTTGACCAGTCTCTGAGCGTACTAAAACATGCAAAAGAGGTTCAGCCTTATGTTATTTCCAAAACATCAATAATGTTGGGTTTAGGTGAGAATGATGAACAAGTATATGCAACAATGAAAGGTAAAGAAACTGAAAACTCTTTCCTGTTAAATTGTAGTAGTAGTAATAATGGAACTCCACTTTGAGGGCCCTATAAATTTATTTTTCCTCCATAGTTCCAGTGCAAATGGCCAGCCAGTGTAGCTCAGTGGTAGACAGATGTATGAGGCCCTGGGTTCAATCCCCAGCACCAAAACAAACAAGAAAATACATGGTTATAAATAACAACTTGCCAATGAAAGGAAGTGTGTGTTCTTAGAACTTCCTGGAATGATTTATAGGAAGCTCATGATAGGGAATTTGCATCCCATTTTACTATATCCATTCATCCAATGAAAAGAAGATTTCGTCCACCTTTTTCATTCTGTCATTAGGGAGTTTTGAGAGTCGTCTGGGTACTAGGCACCAAGGAGTAAGACCAGTCTAGGCCTTTCAGAAAAGCTTTCTTGTAGCATTGTCTTATAAAATGTGCTCTGGACTTTGCACAACCTCAGTCCCATAAACTCATGATTCTTGCTTTGTGATTCTTGGCCTTTTTAAACTTTGAAATGTAAAGTTTTTAATTTTCCCTGCGGGTTTTTACCTACTTTCAGTTGTTTGGTGATTCAAAGAGTAATAAGTTCAAATAGTAATTAAAAACTGTCCTTTATCAGGATTCATGCAATTTGTTATTAGAAAGAGTTTTAACAGGTTAGAGGTCACATCCATCCTGACAGCATATCTTATACATTGAGTAAAATCCTAATAAAGCATGTTTGGCCTGTGATATAGGTGTTTTCAGACTTTTCCAAATACTGTAACCTTTTATGCCTAACACCCCTCCTGCTCTAAAACACCCTCCACATAAATTCTAGTATTTATTTCACAGTATTAAAGGTGTTGGTCTTGGTGTCTACTACTCCCCCCCCCGCTGCCGACAGTGTTAATCATTCCTATGTTTTTAAACTTTTTTTATTTTTCAATTAGCAAACGGCAATAATCTAGGGATTTCATCATAATTCCATACATACATACAGTGTACCTTGAATAAGTTCACTCCCTGCCTTGTACTCCCATTCCACCCTCCCTCCTCTCCCCTCTCAAACAGTGGTTGGTTGGTATCGTTGTGCTGTCACCTATGTGTATAAGCGGTGTACATCCATGCTCGTCAGTCCTCAGTATTGTGGTATCTCTTGTACATTGATTTACACTCCTTCAGATGTATGCCAAGAGTGGTGTGGCAGGGTCACAAGGTAGATCCATTTTTTAGTCTTTTGAGGAACTCCATACTGATTTCCATAATGGTTGCACTACTTTACATTCCCACCAACAGTGTATGAAGGTTCCTCTTTCCCTGCTCATTCCTGTGTTTTAAATCCTTATAGTCCCTGGCACATAATATTTTTGAATGAAAAGGTATAGTTTTGTTTTCCATGACAAGTACATAGCATAAAGTTTACACTATGAAATATTATGAAATATTCCTCAAGAAAATTACACTTGGATCTACAATTTTAACATTGTCAAACACCTACTGACGTAGTTTGTGCTTTTTTTCCCTACAGCACTTCGTGAAGCTGATGTGGACTGTCTAACTTTAGGACAATATATGCAACCAACAAAGCGCCACCTTAAGGTACAGAGCACCTTGAATTGTCATATGCTTCCTAGAAATTTGAGTTAAATCTCCATTGTCCACAGGCAACAATAAGAAACTGACTTTTTAGTATAATGTTCCATGTTTATTTTTCTTTAGTGGTACTGGCCACTCTTGCTAGGCAGGTGCTCTACCACTTGAGCCACTCTGCCAGCCTTTTTTATGTTGGGTATTTTTTTTTTTTTTGGCCCAAGTTGGCCTCAAACATCAATCCCCCTGATCTCCATCTCCTGAGTAGCTAGGACTATAGGAATGAGCCTCTGGTGCCACTGGCTACCTGTATATTTAAAAGTCACAGTATCCTTTGTTACCGACATAAATCAGCTACACTGGTACTTATTTGCTGCCACTCAAATTGTACAAGTCAAGTGAACCTACAGGAAAAGGATTAAAAATTTGGGAAATTACACTCATTAACACTTGGTGATGCTGTGACTTAAAAGTCATATAAGTAGTACAGTAGAATATTTCTACTTCTACAATGGATGCTAATTCATTCATTTCCTTCAAGAAACTTGGCGTCAGGTAGTGAGCTTGTACCAGTCACAATGCTAAGCAGAAGATTCAAGATGAATAAGACAGTCTTGTCCTCAAAAATCTTATAGATGTGACCAATTCTTGGTTCTACCATTAATGCAAGAAAAATTGAAATAATCTCTACAGATAATCTCATCTTTCTCTGTCTGCTGGAATAGCTAATGTAGTACAATATTGATGTTTCTTCTCCTTTCTAATTTGCCATAATTTTGTTCTCATGGAGTGGTCAATAAGTAATAAATAGCAGGGGGAGGGGCCTAGGTAAATGATAAGGTGAAAACCTTTCTGAATACATGGGTATAGAATTTATGTAGAACCAGAATTACTTAAGAGAATTCTGATCTAAAGTGATTATTTAAATCTAGGTTGAAGAATATATTACTCCTGAAAAATTCAAATACTGGGAAAAAGTAGGGAATGAACTTGGATTTCATTATACTGCAAGTGGCCCTTTGGTGCGTTCTTCATATAAAGCAGGTAAGTTAGACTGCAGGGGGTGGTTTTATTTAGGCCATTAACTTTCCAATGTTAAGTTCTGCCACAGATAACCAAAGCTGTGAGGCAAATTATAATAGTTATGGTTGTCTTTTATCGGTAAAAGGAGGTCTTTTTTTCTGAAGCATCCTTTGGAGCTGTGCTCTATAGGGGTCATATTAAGGAGAAGTTTCTCTTAAACCTACCTTGTTCCTTAACACATCCCTTCCATACCTTGATATTTCAGCCACTTTGGCGAAACCAGAAACAATTCGTTTTTTTTATCAGTTGGACTTCACAATTGTAATTGTTAAAAGCAGCTAGAAGTTGGGCACCAGTGGCTCACGCCTGTAATCCTAGCTACTCAGGAGGCAGAGATCAGGAGATTCATGGTTCAAAGCTAGCCTGCACAAATAGTTCAAGAGACCCTATCTTGAAAAAAGCCATTAGAAAAAAAGGCTAGTGGAATGGCTGAAGGTGTAGGCGCTGAGTTTAAGCCCTAATCCCACAAAATAAATAAATAATAAAAAGCTAGGTATTTTAGATATGTCTAAAATATTATTGTTAATGGTCTTTTAAATTATTGCTATATATTGGGGTCTAAATCATATATATGTTTAAGCAGAACTCTTTAAAAAAATAATGTTCAAGTATTAGTAATACTCAGTATTTATATAAATTTAAGACATTTTTGTAAACTAATAGTTTATCCTAATTATAAAACCAAGAATTTGATTCAACACTAACTGACAGGATGTGGAGATTTTGAAAACAAGTAATTATTATAAGTGGTTTAGTCTTTAACTAGGACTACTGGCAATACATATATAATACGGTATAACATAATATATGTTAGCTGGAGCCAGTATCAACTTCTTGAGTGGTTACATTAGAGCCCTGTCATTTAAAAGGAGTTTTTCTTTTTTGTTTTGTTTGTTTTTTTGTGTTTTGGTTTGAACTCAGGGCTTTGCACTTGCAACGAAAACACTCTACCACTTGAGCCACACGTCCAGTCCTTTATGCTCTGGTTATTTTGGAGATGGGGTTTTAGGAACTATTTGTCTGGGCTGACCTCAAACCACGATCCTCCCAATCTCGGCCTCCCAAATATCTAGGAATACAGGCATTTTTTTTTTAAGGGAAATTTATAACATTTGTAAGGAAGTGAATTATGGATTTTGTGATGGTTTTCCAGTGGCCAGGAAAAGGCTGAAGTGTGGGTGTGGAGTGTGAGTGGCAGACGACAAGTGAGTGTCTGATAGCATTGGCTGTATGAGGTGTAGAACAGCAGCAATTGCTTGAGATTCTTGGTGACTGTGTTTGGCTGTGGCCATCGCAGTTCTGCTCACATATGTAAGAGGATAAAGAGAAGTTAACCCAGCTCCTCAGAATATCAGGCCTCCAGTGCTGAGTTCTACCAATGCACATTGAGCTGTGCTGTAACAGTGATGGACTAAATGGAACCCTAATGGCCAGAGAAGTGAATGTGCCCCTGCAATGCAACTAGCTTATTACACAGGCAAGACTCGGGTTTAAGGGGTGAAGCTTGTTACAGATGAAAAGCTCTGGCTTCCCCAAAGGGGAATAAGCTGAAGAGAGTCCATCAGAGGCATCTGCTCAACTGCAACCAGGTCTGTTCTACAGATCTCAGATCCAGGCTCTCAGCTGGTCTGAGAGCAGCCTGGACTGCTCTCTGAAATGATATTGCCAACAGCAGTACTTGTCAGTGAGGAAGAACAGGTGGTGTACAGACAGCGGAATATATAGACCCATAGAGCTACCCTTTATAACACTGGCTTATTAGGAAGAAGAATAATTGAGACTAGTGATAACTTTTTTGAAGAACAGTGGTGATTCACACCTATAATCCTAGATACGCAGGAGGTAGAGATCAGGAAGATTGCAGTTCAAAGCCAGCCCAGGCAAATAGTTTGTGAGACCCTATCTCAAAAATATCCAACCCAAAAGAGGGCTTGAGGAGTGGCTCAAGTGGTAGGGCACCTGCCTAGCAAGCACAAGGCCCTGAGTTCAAACCGCAGTACCACAAAAAAAAGGAAGAACAATGGCCAAAGATACAAGGAATATTTAAATTAGAAAAAATATTGCCTTTGAGATTAGAAAAAGGAGAAATGCATATGCATGTATATGGGGTGGGACTTGTGTTTGAACTCAGGACCTCACACTTGCTAGGCAGGCACTCTACCACTTGAGCAATTCCTCTGGTTCATTTCTCTCTGCTTATTTTGGAGACAAGGTCTCAAGAACGATTTCCCTGGGCTGGTCTCAAACTGCAGTCCTTCTGATCTCAGCCTCCCAAGTAGCTTGAATTATAGTCGTGAGCCACAAGCACCTGGCTGCAAAAGTCTTCTTTATAAAGAAAATATTGAAGTATAATATTTTTATTATTATTTACTTTAAATTGATACCAATTTTTTTTATTTTTCCTAAATAGGTGAATTCTTCCTGAAAAATCTCGTTGCTAAGAGAAAAACAAAAGCCCTTTGACACTTAGATAAGACCTTCAAGAAATATTAAGAATTTGCTTCTTGTTACCAGAGGTGGGGCCAGAATGCATAGGTTTCAATGGATGTACCCAACTTTTGTTTTAAGAAAAGTTTCAGTAAGCTGTACATATTAATTACAGCAGTTCATTTGACTTTTAGCATTTTCCTTGTCCTAATAAATAATTGCTGATCATGATGTGATTGTGGAGTGTGTCCATAAGAGGTTGCTATTAGCATTACAATTAAACCTACATTAGCCAGGTATGGTGGGGCATGTCTATAACCTCAGCATCGAGGTGTTTGAAGCAGGAGGATGTCAACTTCCAGGCCAGCCTGGGCCACATAGCAAGACCACGTCTCAAAAACACAAAACAAAACAAGACAACTTTTGACTGCATAGCACTGAGAAGAAAAAAAAAACTTCCAGAAGTTACTGTTACCTGTATATCGTTGTTGCATCTCATTTCTGAAAAACGACAAAACAAAATTTCATTTGTGTTACTGTGATGAAACATGACTAGTTATGTTCTTTACATGGAATAATTTAGAAAGGCTTAAGAGTTGAATGTTGGACTGCCAGAGTGCTTAAGCAGTAAAGTACCTGCCTAATAGGCAGGAGGCCCTGAGTTCAAACCCCAGTACCACACAAAAAAAAAAAAAAGTTTAAATGGTGATTTTTTTTTTCTTTTTTAATGAGACTGGGTTTGAACTCAGGATTTTGTGCTTGCAAAGCAGGTACTCTACCACTTGAGCCAAACATCCACTTCATTTTGGTTTGGTTATTTTAGAGATGGGGGTCTCACAAACTATTTGCTTGGACTCCTTAAACTATAATCTTCCTGATCTCAGCCCCCTAAGTAGCTAGGATTACAGGTGTGAGCCACTGGTTCCTGGCTTGAATGTTGATTCTTTATCTTGGAATGACTACTAGACTACGATGTTGTCAATGGCTCAGAAATTTAATCTAAGAAATACTAACCCTCACTGTACAGTAGCTTGCTAAATTTGCATGCCCTAACCCATTGATTCCTTCTGTCCTTTCCACCACTCTGATGAGGTGGTTGTATTAAATAATATTAATGGCCTGAAAAAGGAGTTTATTTCCAAAATACTAATACTTGAATTTATCCTTTGATTCTGAATTCTGTCCAGTTCACATAGGAAATTTTCAGGTGGTAATATTGTAAGAAAGTAATGTGGATAGTTGATTCTGTTTAGAATTTTAAAATAAATGAACCATTTCTTATGATAAAAGTAATGCATAGGTTTGAAAATTGGTTATATTTTAGTTTGACCCAGGGAAGAATTATACAGCTTCTTTATAGATTCTAATAAATTTTACTGTGTAAATTTAACCCCATCAGCTTTACCTTTAAACATCTCCACTGTATGCACATATGAATAAAAAAAAAAATCTCAAGTCACCACAAACCTTAGAAACTTATTTCACAGAAAAAATAAATGGGTTACTTTTCCAAATGTGGTTTTGTGACAGAAGTAGGTGCCTTCTGGTTGTCGCTGTGCCTTTTCAGTGTAGGCTGATGGCATTGAAACGTTTAGCAGGAGAGTCATTTTCTCAAATGAAACTTTCATTTGTAAAATAATTAAAATATTTTATTAGCACAAATATATGTTAAAGTTTCAGCTTTATAACATTTATTTTGTATATAAAATTAGTAAATGGTAAACTGCAGCTATTTGATACACACAAATGTGAAATTGGGAGTTATAGATGGTTGTGATCTTGTCAGCCTCAGTTATTTTTTTCTTTTTTTTTTAACTTTGCTTTGCTTTGTTTTTGGAGACTGGGTTTCATGACATACCCAGGCTAACTCCTAATCCTCCTGCCTCAGTTCTCAAATGCTATGATTATAGGCATTTGCCACCATGCAAATTATTTTGTTTTGCACAGCATTGAAAAAAATGACAGATACAGCTAAATAGAGTAAAATTTTTTAAAGTTTTAGTTGGACATGGGAATTCACAATTGTAATTCCAGATACTTAGGAGGCAGAGATCAGGAGGATTGTTGTTCAAGGCCAGCCCAGGCAAAATGTTAGTGAGACCCCATCTTAACAAACAAGCAGGCATGGTAGTGCACACCTGTCATCCCAGCTATGCAGGAAGCTGCAGGTAGGATTGTGGTCCAAGACCAGCCCCAGGAAAAAAAAAAAAGAGACCTATCTGAAAAGTAACATGAAAGCAAAAAGGAGCCAGACCTCAGTGATTCACACCTGTAATCCTAACTACTCAGGAGGTGGACTCAGACTGGAAGCCAGCCCTGAGTTCAAACCTCAGTGATTCCAAACAAACAAACAAAATTTAAAACACCTCATCTTCCAACCTCAGGATGTTTTCCACTTAAACTCAGTACAGAAACTTGAAAGAGAAGTAGCAGGAAATGTTTGTTTCAAAGTGGAATCACAGATAGGACTTTTTCATTTGTTATTCATTCACTCATTGGTGCATTAATTGATGATTCCACTGGGTGTGCCAGCACCTGGCTCTCGCCGAACACCTGAGTAGAGGCGTGGCCCCTCGCACAGCTCTGCAAGAAAATCCACTGCGGCCCTAAAGGCCGGGGAGGGAAATGCAGGAGGTGTGGACTTGCACAGCACAGCGCCCACGTATGCAGTTGTCACACTGAAGTCCCTTCGTGTGTTAATGTATGCGAATTTAAAAACAAAATGCACAAAAGGCCAGGGTAGAGCTTTTGGGCTTTGTAAATGTGCGTTTACCAAGTTCATTTAGCTGCACAGATGTAGCAGGACATCTTACAGAAGTCGAACTGCGTGAGTTAATGCGCCCATGGTCTCCGGGGTGCTAAAGTTTGCTGCGTGGCATATTTCCACTTGTGATGTTTTTCTTTCTGTAGTACAAGTGGAAGTGACAAATGCACATGGATCACTCAGTTTCTTTAGAGAACACTACCTACTCTGCCTTTTTTTTAAAAACCCTCAGACTGCTCTTGACTACTTGGTTTGATGGTTTACCCTTCTCAGCTTGGAGACCTTAGAATCTGATACAATGAAAGTCACAATTCATACTTCGTGATACCGTGATCACGAAGGCGGTTCTCCCGGGGCGAGGCTTATCCATTGCACTCTGGCTGTGCTGACCCCTGCGATTTCCCCAAATGTGGGAAACTCGACTGCATGATTTGTGGTAGTGGGGGACTGCGTTCGCACTCTTAAAAAAAAAAAAAGTCACAATTCAGTCTCTGAAGATTCAAAATCTGTAATTAAAAATCTGGAAGGTGAATCCAAGTATGATATGTTTAATATAAGAACTTTTGTAAATGCCACCATATACTTCCAGCTCAGCAATTAAAAAATAAAAATAAATGAATAAAAAAATAATAAAATAAAATAAAATAATAAAAACCCTCGGGCTGGGAGATGAAGTGTCAGGTGTAAATGGCAGGTGCCATCTCTATGCCTAGTCTAGGAAGGATGAGTTGAGCAGGCTGACTGTTGTAGAGTTAAGCCCTGGTTAGGTTTGTGCCCCACCCCACCCCCAGCCCTACCCTGGGTTGAGCCTCTGCTGCTGGGCAGGCCTCTGGCCATCAAACCATGATCCAGGAAGCAGCTTTCCCAGCTCATCTTTCCAGTCAGTACATATCCATGCACTCGGTGCCTTCCAGAAATCTGAAACTCCTGACTACCAGTGGCTCCCTCATATTCTTGTTTTATTGAATTATAATTTCTTCCCACCCCCACCATGCTCTGAATAATTGTAATGGGGCCCTCAGAGGAGGAAGGTTGTAATGTGTGCTCAGAGCCGGATGTAGTGGCCTGGGCCAGCTACTTGCGGGATCACTGGGGTCTGGGACTTTGAGACCAGCCTGGGTAACACAGTAAAACCCCATCTCAAAAAAAAGTTCTGGGTGCTGGTGTCTCATACCTATAATCCCAGCTACTTGGGAGGCTGAAATTAATGGAGGTTCAAGGCCAGCCTGGGCAAACAGTTCATAAGACCCCATCTCCAAAATAACCAGAGCAAGTGGTTCAAACAGTAGAGTGACTGCTTCACAAGCATAAAGCCCTAAGTTCAAACCCCCCGTTTGATTTTTTTATCAATATATTTTACAGTGTACCACTAGTAACCTGGGAAAAAGGAGGGAGAAAGGAGGGATACTGTGGTCACAGTATCCAGCTTATCCTCTAAAATTTAATAGCTCTTTAGGTATTATTTTGCAAGGTTGGTACTTATGACATTTTTCTTCCTGGATTTCTGATCTAAAATTTTATTACACTGCCTGTAAGCAGTGGCATGCTATAACACCCGAGTCTCTCTAGTGTGACTAACAAAGTTCAAGACCTCCCCCCCACCCCAAGAAAGTCATACCCACACACACCCTTCAGTGTTTGCTTTTTTTTCTTATGGTACTGGGTTTTGAACTTGGGGTTTCTTGCTTGCTAGGCAGGTGCTCTACCACTTGAGTTTTGCCTCTAGCCCCTTTTGTCTCTGGTTATTTTTGAGATAGGGTCTTGCTTTTGCCCAGGCTGGCCTGGACTGGGATCCTACCATTTACACTTCCTGCAGTAGCTGAAATGACAGGTGGCTCCACCATGCCCAGCTTTTTCTGTTGAGACAGGGTTTGTGGACTTTTTGCCCAGGCTGGTGTGGAACTGTGAAACTCCTATCTTAGCCTCATGTATAACTGGGATGACAGGCACACCACAGCACCCAGCTATTTATTGAGATGAGGTCTCACAAACTTTCGCCTTGGGCAGAATCTCAGCCTCCCAAATAGCTAGGATTATTATCATGAGTCATCAGCATCCAGCTTTTTTTTTTTTTTCTTATACAGCGGTCTTGCACTATTTAGCCCAGGCTGGCTTTGAACTCACTGTGTGGGTTCAAGCATTATAGGCTGGCTGATTGGTCTCCAGCTCAAGATCCTCCTGCCTCCACTTCCTCAGTGCTGGGATTACAGATGTGTACTATTATGTCTGACTGTCATTTGCCTTTTTAACTTTTCTAAAGTATACAATTCAGAATATTTATACCGGATGATAGTGGCTCATGCCTGTAATCCTAGCTTCTTGGGACGCAGAGATCAGGAGGATTGAGGTTTGAAGCCATCCCAGGCAAATAGTTTGGGAGTCCCTATCTCGAAAATACCCAATGTAAAAATGGGCTGTCTAGTGGATCAAGTGGTAGAGCACCTCCCTAGCAAG